TTCATTTGATTGATTGTCAGATTCTGCTGCAGTCTAATAAATGTTCTTTTCTAAACTATTCACGGATGTCATTTTTTTTCTTTGCGGGCAAAATATCATGATCATACAAATAGTAAATAAGAAGATGAACACCCATAGATTGATTTACATCTTGAATGCTAGCTAAAAAGCAGTTAACAAGATTGGTGTCAGAAAAAGGGAACTTAAATAAAGAGTATCACACATCTTAGGCAAAATATTGCAGAATCTGACCTCTAGTATCCTTATTACATTCGATCACGATTGACATTGGAGAGAGGGTATCAAAAAGGTAGAATAAATTAGGTATATTGATTGATGTTTGATTTATTGGTCTGTCACCTCGCGCGATGAAGCTACATGGAGAAAGTAGGCAACACATGCGTTCCTTGGAACCTTCTAGTTTGCTTTTATAAAAAAATTTTCCAATTTATATGATTTAATTTTTCAAGTAACAAATTTCGAAATTGTCTAAAACTGTGTAGATAAAAAAAATTGTTGTCATAGGAAAAACATGAAAATCAAGCTAATTCAGAGAATTCGTGTCCCCCGCTTAGGGAAAAAGTCGGATCCCCCTGACTGAAATTGTAGAATTATTAAATGTATAAATGTATACTGATGCAAATAAAATACATGTAAGTCAATATGCGTATAAAGATTTGATTGCTTATTCTTTATTATGTGTATAGAAGATTCTTTTTATATGGAATATTAATCACACTGTAATAGTGATTTTATAACCTCATAAATTTTTCTTTTCACATGCTGGATACTATCATTTAAAAAAAAAAAGAAAAAAAAAAAAAAAAAGGATAGTCCGAGATTCGATCCCGGGACCTCTCACTTGTAAAGCGGGAGACATACCACCAGACCACGGATGCGCTTTAATTGTCGTCAAGTATATGCAGAAGTTAAGTCACATACATGTATATATTCATGCTCGATATTGTCAAAATTTTACACAATCCATGGTGTTTTATTTATTTAGCCTTTATTAAACAGTTCTAGTAGATGTAATAAGAACATAAAGTCCGCCGAGAACCTGTTTTATACGCAATAACTCTCCGCATGCCCCTGTGCTAAAAATAGCGACATGTAATACTATAAATACTAATAAAACAAACGGGGCGGGACACTTTGAGAGGGGTGAGAGAGGTCCTAGGGAGTTTTGGTATAAAATTACATTGCATAAGCTCAAAATCTTCTTGAAATATCGCCCGGAAATGATAGTGTTACACACAGACAGAATGTATAAATTTACGACCTTGAACTTTGACCTTTTGACCTCAAAATCAATAGGGGTCTTCCTTAGGCCACAGGGAGTTGTTATGTAAAATTTCATTGCAATACCTCAAATGGTTCTAGAGATATCGTGTGGAAACGAAAGTGTTATAACAGACAGAATTTGCTTATTTATGACCTTGACCTTTGACCTTTTGACCTCAAAATCAATAGGGGTCTTCTTTAGTCCATAGGGAGTTGCTATGCTAAATTTCATTGCAAAAGCTCAATGGGTTCTCGAGATATCGTGTGGAAACGAAAGCGGTACAGACAGACAGAAAGACGGACGGACGGACGGACAGACGGACGGACGGACAAACCCAAATTAATATCCCCCACTTTTCAAGCGGGGGACAATGATGGGCCTGAAATATGAAATCAACATCATATTATGGAAAAAGTTGTAGGGAACTTCGCCAGAATTGCAGCAAGTTCATTCAGTCGCCTTTCAAAAAGACATATTACAGATGTACTGGGACTGATGTCCTTTTCTCACATGATCCTATAATTCTTTTCAAGATGACGTGCTTTTGGTGCTTACTCCAGCATTGTACCTTATCCCAACTTGACTTTTAGAGGTCCGTGTTGCTGACTGCTTCGAATTTGTAATGTTCCATTGGTCATCTGAGATTGATTTCTGTTCAAAATATTTATATTTCATTCCTCAACAAGGTTCCAATATGTCTGCTATTGAATGGTATTAATTTTGCAGAAAATGAAAATAATTTAAAAAAAAAATGTCTCAAACCTATTCCTTTTTTGTTACCCTATTGATATATTGTAGTGTGTATTGACCCTTTTATCTAGGTCTATACAAGTGGATTATTACCAGCTCTACAGATTGCAATCTGTTGTCGGACACCTGTTCATCTTATAGCTAGCGACGCATCAAAACATCATTAAGAAAATTATATGCATGAAGATTGATTGTGCATGCTTTACCTCTCATTCAGAAATATTTGCAAGACGAAAGGGATACCAAGCGGGTGTTCTACGTTTTCCTCTTGGAAAGACTGAGCTAACAAAAAGAAACTTATTTGACCCTTTTCAAACGAGCAATCAGCGACCACCTATTAGTTAAAGTTTAGGATATTATGGACTTTGGATTATAATTTGCAGAATGTCAGTGGTTTGATTTTGGTTTAAAACATAGTGATATTATCAGCAAATCTGAGAAACAGTACTATTTTTTTTTTATACGATGCTTGAAAAAAATAGATTATTTAAAGTTAAAAAATCTTCGAGTTTTGCAAGTTAATTAAAGAATTTAAAAAATAGCCTAAGGCTTAATGATATTTTTATTCCTTGTATGGGCTCATTATCTTTTGAATAGCTTTTTATAGTGCAAATTTGCTTTACTGGCTTTTCATTATTATATTTTCTTTTTGAAAACACAAATTTACATGATGTCAGTTGTATTAAGTTTACATTTGTTTGTTGAAAGTTGAAGGGCTCGGATTGAAGGTCTTATAATTGCACTCGTTTAGGAGACTATGTATAGAAGTACATGTACGTACCTTTTTGTCGTTAAATAAGTTTAACGATATCACCATAAAAGCTTATATTATTGAATTTCGTTATATACAGTCATGTAATAACGTTCGTCAAATGACGGTTTTCCTGCATAATTGAACACGATAACATTCTTTTATAGACATAAACCGTAATTACCTTTTTTGATGATGAATTTTCGAAAAGCTTGTCAAACACGGCAAGCAATGTGTTATTGGCATTTCAGAAACGATTAAAAACCAATTGTCTAGTTGAGTGTATGGGAGAATTTAGAAGTTTTAACGTTATGAAATAGATACGCAGTTATGATAATGCTGTCCGAAGACTTAAAATGCCTTGAAAATATACATTTTATTCTGAAGTAGATTTTAATTTTAATATGTATTCCTTGTTTGAAATTGCAGACAACTTGAGATAATAGTTTAATCAGGTTTTATTCTAAAGCATTTATGTATTGTCACATGACTGTGTTGATCACGTGACGGAGATTCTTTATTGGCACTAAGGCACATATTTATATACAGAAATGTGTTGTTAGCCATATACATGTATTGCAATATATTATACTACTGTAAGCTTGTTTCTAATATCAAAACTGTCTCTGATTGTTTGCAACAATTGTTTCAAAACAAAAATATTGTGCAAAGTTTGTTACATTTAATTTATCAATTCATCGTGATCTCTTGTACATAGAAAGTACTGGGGGTAGGTTTAATTTTTACTCGTTTAGAAAATATTTTAGGAGAAATTAAATTTACCTGCATAAGAAGGGTCTCTTTTTCGTGATTTATAAAAAAAAAAATGGATAAACTACACACAGTCCCCCAGCCAAATTCAGTTAGAATACGTACTTTTTTCTTGTGGATTCACACAGAATATCTTCAATTTGTCCTTGTTTATCACTTGTGCCATTCCAATATAAACACGATTCATAAATTCTAATTCTGTCGTGGACGTGGACGTACTAGTAACTTGACGTCGAAGGGGAGCGTTTCACAAATAAATACTGCTTTAGTCTGAATGTGTGCATATCGAATAAGCAAAAGGAATGTGGATATAAAAATTTCAAATGTTCAAAATCATAACAGCACACTTGAGCTTAAAAACAATCCTAACACTTGAATTAAACAGCAAGTTCCCAAATAAATCTACATGCCATGAACAAATTATGACACTTTCCCCGTTATGTCAGCTCAGGTATGCAGTTACCTGACGTCATATTCTATTAGATATTTTACGGGCAGCCTTATCCTAGCTGTGTATTGTTTATCCCAACTCTTAGTTATTCATACACCTTATCCTTCAGAACACGCATATTAAAAACATTAGTTTATATCGAGAAAGTCGATCTAATCTGAAAATCAATGGTAAGAGAAAGTCTAAAAATGATCACAAAACGTCACTTAATTCAACATGTGTTGTGTATACATCCATGTTATGTTCTTTGCGTCGATCGTTTAAAGTTCCTCATTTCAATTAACCCTATTAATACGGAAAAATCGGATTATATCCCCAGGAAGCATGAACCAGTTTTCAATCCAAAATTTAAAAAGTCATACCTCAAAATACAGTATAAGGATTTAAAAGATGTCGATATATTCAAGTATATTCAAAAAAAAATATTTTTCATTGGTACAGGGATAAAATAAAATACAAATTTTAATGAAAAACTCAAACTTTAATCTAAAACACTTTCGCCCCATGCGGGCTCATCAGTAGATTTACTGAATTTACTGAATTTCCGATCATTATCTACTGATGAGCCCGCATGGGGCGAAAGTGCTTTAGATTTAAGTTTGATCGAGTTTTATTATTTACATTTGGATTTTATTCATGTATATATATGTTTAGGCATGATTTTTAATGCTGCATTTAAGATCTTCTATGATGATACGTATGTATGACGAGATTCTGTAAACCAAATCTATTTGTATGCAAGAAATTTTCACGAGAGCCTCGTCATCGCGAATATTTATCGCCGCGAACAGGTCCTTAGGGTCTCTGTGTCACTTAACAACTGATCCAAACTAGACTTGATCGAAAAAATTAATTGTCAAGGACTAATTTTCGCCTGGTAAATCGCGACATAAATTCGTTGCAGATAAAAGTTGGTTTACAGTAATGAGAACCTTTTGTACGAAAAAAGAAATCAGTTTAAAATTATTTCTCTTAAATTCATCAACACAAAATTTTAGATAACCGACTTTTTTAATAAACGTGAAAGATCTTTTAAAAATTCAGTTCATTTGTTTCAATTTCATTATATATTTCCCTGACTGATCCATGTATGTCCTCACTCGATCATGACTGTGGCACAATGTGGTTATTGCGATATCTGAAATTCTTGATTACTGCAACTCCAATGACATGTTAAGTTTCATTTGATAGTTATAAAGACGGCGATGTGTCCGATATACACTCAGACAGGAGGGAATATAATTTGAACGTTTTCATACATCGTGTCGTTATCGGGAAAATTGACAGTTGTGTCTCTCAGATCCCGAGAATAAGTTTTATATTTCCGATCATACATGCATACAACAACGTTAGTTAAAATCATAAGTACGTCCACAAAACCAATCACTACTATAGAAATAAGGATGATTCTGTTGATACTGGAAGGCTTCTTTGTTGGAACTCTGCTTGTAAAATTTGTGTACATGTATGGGGATGACCCCGTCGTCCAGATGGTGTCCTTTTCCATTACTGTACTAATGACTGTAGAATGGTCTTCCATTTCTATGAATAAAGAAATACTGTAAAAGCAATATTTTCAATAATTCTGATTTCTTAGTTTTGATTGTGGTACGTAAAATTAAGGATGTTCATAGGAACAATTGGTTGTTGATCTGTACTGAATGATATTTTCTACGAATTTGTAAAAGAAATGAAATCAATCAACCTGTTGATGGAACTGAACAACCTCGAGAAAAGTGACACAATTCCATCGAACATTGACAGTGTCCTTGACACTTATCTCCATAGAAAGGAAATGGACATTTTGTACAGTTTATTCCTCCATATCCTGGTAAGCATTCTACAATAATATTAATTCTTGATTAGTTTTGAAAACAAATCAATTCTACAATAGGAAATTTAAAAACATATTAAGCAACGAGAAAACAACTAATGTGTCAAATGTTATGTCAAATTAAAAATACACAGTCACAAAGGTTTGGATGAAAATGCACTTTCAAAAACTTTTATCCAAATAACTTTTAAACTGTGCAAAAAAAAAAGACTTGTAAAACGCAACCTCCATTCATAATGTTTGGAACTATAATTAAAATTTAATCTATGTAGGCAACTTTACATTTATATACTGTTAAGTTGGTAGATACAGTGTAATAAGAAATCGTCATTCACTCCACCATCATAGTTTTATTTTTAATCTAAGTCAATCTGTACATGCATATGTGATACATAAAACATATTAAAATGGTGCCTATAAAAAGCTGCTAACTTTGTTCGACTGCGTTCGAAGTGATCGTCGCATATTCTGTTACGCATATATATATTTTAATTATGTAATTTGGATATTCCCTTTAATACTATAACCCATGGATACTATATTGAACAATAAATGACATGCACTTGAGAGAAAGGGTTGGGGTAACTTTTCATAGCTTGAACAGTGCTGCCATAATATTTTGTTCTTTTAGCATGCCAAAGTAATTTTCATACATTTCATGTAATAAGAAGTGTAATATATGGAGGAATCGTAGAGTATTCAACCCCAAAAGTCAGTAAAACAACACAAAACAGGAGCAGAGGAAACATCTGCAAAACATCAAAGGTGGTAACAGGTACCATGGAGGAGTAAACATCTCCTGCTAACCGGTCACACCAGCCGTGTGCCCCTTGTCATAATAAACTTAAAATGACAATTTTATCTACATGTACATCTACATGTACGTCAACATTTCTACTACCTGATTCGAATGCACAACAGATTCTCTCATTCACTTACTTTTACAATCTTGACTTTCGTTATCCCACGAGTAGTCTGGACAGCAACCTTTGAAACCTCTGTGTGAATGAATTTTATACAAATGGAATTAAAATTTGAATACTGTAAATTTATTATATTTGGCGTGTACGATATTTGGCAGAAATGTATAGCGGGAAAGAGGTTTGTTGCTTTATTGACAAGATTGATACTATACTGTTCCATGCAAATCTCCAGCATTGCAGACAAACAAAAACAAAATTCTATTTCTCTCTTTCTTTCCCTCCTTTAATGAAATAGATTGTTTCTGCATGTCCACAATAATGTAATAATAAATATACGAAGTAAACATCCCACCCTACCCCTCCTTGCTTGACGTGGACATACACATACACTTCTGATTTGTTAACCAAGAACTACGAACTCTAACTCTTGATTCTCGCCTACATTTTGCACCCATTAAATTCAATATTAATGGCAATTTGGCCATTAAATCTTTGTTTAATACAAAGAACAGTTATATGGTAACTGAGTAATCATTTTAGTTCCAGCGCTAGATAGTAAATTATCATTAATTTCAGCTCTTGAAAAAAAGGTGGTAGACTATATTTTCTGGTGAAATCGAACTTTCAAGAATCGCCATATCTTGAAATAGTCTTAGATATGGTAAAATGTATCTCATATCTTTTCTTATGTTTTACGCAAATAAAAAAAACATATCTAAATTAACAAAGTACAATTATTTAGTTGTAAATAGCTTTAAAATTGGTGAAAAATCAGATTTTTTTTTTCGTTTTTTGTCTATAAACATTTGCCCCCCCCCCCCCCCCGTGAAACACAAAAAGCTTTGGGATAAAATTGTAAAATGACAGTCTATATTATCTGTAAAAAGGATTTTTTGTTTCACGGGGGGGGGGGATGTTTTAAAAATATTTTCCGTTTTCTGTTGATTTCTATAGTGAAAAACACAAGTTTAACCAAAATTATAAAGTTATCTCTCTTTGATATCCTAAATAAGTAACGTTTTATGAAAATTCATATAAATATCTATAAAAATTTTGAAATTCATTCGAATATGTTAACTTTTGAGAATTGACATAGAGGTAAGCGGGAGAACAATACTATCGTTCGTAGTTCTTTATTCATGTTGAATATGCATACCTTTATCAAGAGCTTTTAATTAACCCATGGTCAATCTTTGGTAATAAAATATGTGTTATTGTTTAGAAATTTAATAAGACTATCAAAAATATGCCAATCAAAGTTAAATTAGTTCTGCATAATTAAGTTCAGTGTATTCAATATAACTGAAATCAGAGTCAGAAAAACGATACATTTAGATGTATTTATGTCCGTAAAAACCCTAACATTGGTCTCATTATTTTAGTTCTAAATATTTCTACAGCGTGTTTCCTATGTTGGTTACATGTATAAAACTGAATCACTTTCATGAATGTTTTTGTTAAACACAGTCAAAAAAAAATTATATTTTGTTTTATTACATATTGTTTTATTACATTTTGCGATGTCTTCAGTGCAAAAATAAAATAACGCAAAACGTAACAACGAAAAGCACGTTATTATGTTCCCCAAACGGAGTTTGGGAACATATTGTTTTTACTCTGTTTCTTATTATGTTCCCCAAACGAAGTTGGGGAACATATTGTTTTTACTCTGTTTCTTATTATTATTATTATTTTTCTTCTTCCTGGGTACTTTTTTGTCCGGGAGTGATCTTGTAAACTACTCATCCGACTTAGGTAAAACCTTTTTAGGGTAAGTAGGCATGTTATGTAGATTTGCGGAACGAAGGTCATTTTGCGCGCACGTGCTTGCAAGAGCGTGCACGTGCAACACGTGAAATGACCGATTTAATTGATATAGGCGTAACTTTTCACATTTTTGATGAAATGCTTTGAAACTCATAATATAAGGATATATTAGTAGCATAGACAATATGACATGGTCAAAATAGCAAGATCTCACGCGCATGCACGTGCGCTTCGCTCTGATTGGCTGAAACTCAAGTCTCAATATCTTTCTTGTTTTTTGACGAAATCCTTTGAAATTTTGAACATAGCCATACATTATAATATCCTACAACAAGATATATAGCAATTATCATGAAAACACGTGCATGCACGTGCGCTGCAATCTGATTGGCTTAAACTTTAAATAGCTATAACTCCCTTGATTTTCAACCAAACAGGATGGGATTTGGATCATAGATAAGTATAATGAACCTCTACAAGAAGGTATAGTCACCATGCACATGCATACACGTGCGTGTACGTGTGCTGCAGTCTCATTGGCTGAAACTTTAAACAGCTATAACTCCCTTGGTTTTCAACCAAACGAGGTGGGATTTAGAACATAGATAGATGTAATGGACTTCTACAAGAAGGTATGGTCACCATGCTCATGTGTGCACGTGCGTGCACGTGAAATGAGTAAAATCCAAAATACACTTGAATGAGCGTATTTTTTAATACTTTTGGATTAAATACGTTAATATTTAGTTTATTAAAATATATAGATTGTGTAGACAATATGATATGGTCATTACGCACATGCATTCACACGCGCACGCGTGCAATGCTAAAATTTGAATGAACTTGGTACACTTCTGGGTAAATGTTGTTAAAATCTCAAATGCATAGAGTTTGTCTTATTTAATGAAGCTTACAGGGGATATGGCACCAAAAGGGAGTTGGGGAGCGTTTGGGGAACATCTGTAACGGTCCCCGTTACAATTAGCCCTAGTTATTATTATTATTATTTTTTTTCTTATTTCTTCTCCGGTACTTTTTTTGTCCGCGAGTGTTCTCAGAAACTGTTCACCCAACTGAGCTAAAACCTTTTTAGGGTTAATAGGTGTGTAGTGTAGGTGTGCGGAACGAAGGTCATTTTGCGCGCATACGCATGCACGTGCATGCGCGTGAAATGAGTAAATTGACTGATATATTTAATATGGGTGTAACTTCTATATTTTTTGATGAAATATTTTGAAACTCATTATATAAGGATATATAAGATGTATAGATATGACGATATGGTCAAATTTGCATGAACTCACGCGCATGCACGTGCGCTTTGCTCTGATTGGCTGAAACAAAAACCTCAATATCTTTTTGGTTTTTCGATGAAATGCTTTGAAATTTAGAACATAGTCATACATTAGGATACCCTACAATATGATATATAAAAATTTTCGTGAAATCATGTGCATGCACGTGCGCTGCGATCTGATTGCCTGAAACTTTAAATGACTATAACTCCCTTTGTTTCCAACCAAACATGATGGGATTTAGAACATAGATAGACATAAAAGACTCCTACAAGATGGTATGGTCAACATTCACATACATGCACCTGCGTGCACGTGCGCTTTGCTCTGATTGGCTGAAACAAAAATCTCAATATCTTTTCTGTTTTTTGACGAAATAGCATGAAATTTAAATCATAGGCATACTTTAAGATGTCCTACAATATGATATATAATAATTGTCATGAAAACACGCGCATGCACGTGCGCTGCAATCTGATTGGCTTAAACTTTAAATGGCTATAACTCCCTTGTTTTTCAACCAAACAAGATGGGATTAAGAACATAGACAGGCATAATAGACTCCTACAAGAAGGTATGGTCATCATGCACGTGCGTGCACGTGCAATGAGTAAAATAGTGTAGACAAGATGACATGGTCATTACGCTCATGCGATGTTGTTTAAGTCTTAAATGCATAGATTCTGCCTATTTTAATGAAACTTACAGGAATCTGGCACGAGAAGGGAGTTGGGGAGCGTTTGGGGAACATCTGTAACGGTTCCCGTTACAATTAGCACTAGTTACATTTTGCGTTGATCTCGACGCCAAATGTAGTAACGCAAAATGTACTAGTCTAAAAATCGTGTTATTACATTTTGCGTTAATCACGACGCTAAATGTAATAATCAAGGTTAATTACATTTTGCGCTGTTATTACATTTCGCGTTGGAACAACGCGTATTGAGCGCAATAAAATGTGTTCATACGTATGAATTTTCTACATACTGAAAGGGACAGGAAACGCAGGAGAACATAATGTGCGGGGTTTTTTTTTTACTATGTGGCCGAAATTTAAGAAAATTGGTCAGATGTACGGTAAGTATAAATGTTTTGCAATCTAGTAATTGAATTGCATATGTGAATAAAAAGGCAAGAACATGTTGCTGAGCAGTTTGTTTTCAACTTTTTCCTCTCAATATATATCGTAATGAAAAATTAAATACTCATATACACACAAATATATAATTTAAGGCTTACTTAAATGAAAATTGTAAGCAAAATGGTACTGTATATGCCAGATGAGATGATATAGTTTAAGTTACATGAGTAAGATGACCGCAAAATATTTCTAGCATGATACCATCCATCGATTTATGTTAAATTCTGTACAGATACTTACCTCTCACATTTCGGTATAACTGAAGAATTTGATAGAATAAATATGACCTCCAACAAAAATGATATTAAAGTAAACAATATATAATCCATTAAATATATAAAAATGTGACTGACATCATAGTTTTGTCTGTATATCTGAATAATTACTTTATAATTTTGCATGATAATGCTGTAGATTTTCTTCCTTCATCCGTTAATCTACCAGGAAAAACTTGAGTAGATGTGAATAGATTTCTGATTTAAGTCCCTCAATTAAGAGATAACGACGTGACATCTCCATCTGTATATACAGGATGAAATATAAACATGGTTATTTGATAAAAAGAACTAAATATATTAGACCTCATTCATCTTACACATACAAAAAAAGTTTCAATAACATTAACCCAATGATAAATTTAAAGTTGGTAGAAAAAAATTAAAACATTGAAAACCTTTTTTTAGGGGGGGGGGTACATGTATTTAGAAATTTACTTCGCAACAATGATGTAAATTATTAATATTATGGGCTATCAATTGATATTTATTTCTTCCAACAGACTGTAATATACTAAGTAATACTATTAAAGATGAGATGGTGGTAACATAGCAGTTTTTTAATGATAAAATCTGGTTATTTTATCTTCAGAAAATCACAGAGCCATATAAGATTAATTGATTGATTGTATATGGTTTAAGTCCCTTTCGAGAATTTTTCACTCACATGGAGACGTCACCTTATGCCAATGAATGGCTTCAAATTTAGACCTATACTTGGGATTCGGGGCCATTAACCATTGAAGGTTCTTTATCGTGCCAACGCCTACCGTGACACGGGACCTACGTTTTTAAGGTAATATCCGAAAGACCCGTGACTTTCACTTTCAGTGCCGAGCGCTTGCCGAAGGAACATTCACTACCTATGGTTACGTCTTAGGTTACTATATGTTTACGTATTTAGCAATAGTAGAAGTACAACAGGTTTTGTACAATAAGGAAGTTATACTTTGTTCAATTCAGGAAGTTTTTAAAATGCACTTAAAGAGCCATTAGCTGCCTTACCGACGACATGGCCAATTCAAGTATTTAAAAAGGAAATCACCTGTTTCTAGATCTATTTATACATTTAGATACATGTTCATGTACCCTGAATTCTAGATCAAACTACATGTTTGTTATTATTTGAGGACCAGAGATAAATTTAATAGTTTCAAGTTTGTTACATGACAATAATTTTACTTGTTCAATACTGTTAACAGGATTGTTAGAAAATTTTAAAAATAAATCAAGCTAGCAGCGATGACTTTCGGTCATTAAAATAGTTTAGGACTGTTTTCTCCCGAGATACTTTTCAAAGTGTAATGTTGTATTATATGTATCTCTTACATTATTTATACATGAATTATAAAATAATAAGAGAAAACGTAGGAAAATGTACAGAGAGAAAATAAAAAACTAAAAGCCTAGATAAGAAACACGCACTTTAATATTCGAACTCACGATCTTTATGTCTACCAAGCGATCATACCACTACGTTACGCAGTCAATGTAATAGGTTGAGTTGAGACAGATTTTTGGATCTTAAAATTATTTTGAGAAGAAAATTAAATACATAATTTCAATGTGTATTATATATTTATATACTTTCAGTAGAGTGTTATCAATGAATAAAATTACCTGCCTAGTTCCAGCGATCTGCATATAAGAATTCACAATACCCTGTTATGTACTCGAACATACAATATCATTAGTATATATCATTAAGTTTTATATGACTGCCATGGGGAGAGTATGACAAAGAACTATGCACACTAACTCTCGATTCCAGCCTCTATTTTACATAAACACCTTCTATTGAATAAAAATGACATTGTGCCATTACTTTTTTTAATTGCAAACATGAATTAACCTGTATATACCTGGGAGTATGTAATTCAATCGGTAGCGTATGCATAAAGCATAAGTACTTTAACAAAAGCAGATTGTAAAATTTTTACATCAGGATTAAAATAAAAAGACTTACAGTATTAACACGAGTTTACATGACTTTGAAACTTTTTACTGGTCTCACTATTATGCATGCATGAATTTGAATTTAAATTTAGTCCATTCTACTTTTCCATATGAAGGTTTTACCAAGTACTGCACATGTCTTCAATTATATGGTTTATCATCACCTATGATCCCTTTCCCAAATCAATCATCAATGCAAATGCAAAATTAAGACCAATTAGCTGTGACATGTAGCATTTACAATAAATATTCCAACCAGGGCAAGTAACTGTTTGATCCCCTTTGAATCCATTACCCAGAGTAACGCTTTATCTCTATTTACTAAGAGACATGAAGCAATATGTGTCTGTGTGGAAGGGTGGGGGGGGGGGGTACCGATGAGTAAAAAAGGAAACGAAACTTAGGCATGGAATGTAAGCAAAAAAGGAGGTGGCGAATGGAGCAGCCTTTGAAAATGTCCTTACTAAAGAAACCCTAAAATGAGTATTCTCGTGTGTCAACCTTTTTAAGAAAAACAGTGCATCACTTTGAGTCCAGTTTGAGTCACAATCTTGATCATGTTATCTTTGCAGGTATATGTATCTGTTTAATTGCTTAATCTACTGATGAGCCCGCATGGGGCGACAGCGCAATATAGATTAAAGTTTGAGTTTTTCATTTTTTTGGATTTCGTTTCATTGTTATAGATCTTCAATATTTTTAGGTGGTAATATCAGTGCAGGCTTATGCAAAGGAAAATCACCAAACTTTTTTTTTCACGGACCTAAATTTAAATACACGCACTGGGAACAAAATGTTAAGATGACAAACACTTCGCATTTTCTTGTGTAAACTTGGTGTGTCTCTAATCACGGCCAAAATCCTCTTTCAGTCTGGAGGCTAAAGACGGACTCTGGACCGTGGCTTGAGTGTTGATTATCGGTGTACTTAGGCATTCGCAATGAACTCGTATATAATAGTCCATAGGTGACATATATTAGACTTGTATGTAAAAGTCTTTTCTTGGACTTGGAACTTGTATAAATGTATTCATAAAACATGTAAATATCAATTTCCGAGAACGTAAAAGAATATTGCAATACATTTTGAACCTGGGATGTAAAATAGGCGTCGGATAGGCACTCATAGGCGTCGGAACCGGGGGGGGGGGTGGGGGGTTAGGGCCTCTTTTTTGCAAAGATAATCATAATATAGACAAAGAACATTGGAGCGTAGGTTTAAAAAGAAACTGTATTGAGAGAATTTCGATATTAGCCCTCCACCCTCCCCCTCCCCGAAATAGTATTTTCGTGAAGGACGAAGGACATTTTTTTTTCGCTTTTCAAGTTTTTGGTTACTTGAATATTTTGTTCTCCTTTACTTTGCCCCCTTCCACTTTCAATTTGCTTCCGACGCCAATGCATATATATACTTCCATTGTATCTCCCACTTCGCTACCCGACCTTACATGTAATTCCCAGTCATTCTAAAAATAAATGGACGAATTCATTAGATAAATTATGAAAGAAATAACTGTTTCAAAAAGCAAAAACATAATAATGATTTTCTTAAAGACATATCATTGAACTTGGTGGAAAAAAAATGTCCACAGTTAATGATATAAGTTTTTTGGTCAATTTCGGTTCATTTTGAAATCTGCAAATAATCTGTCCGTTAGAGTAAATTCATTATTGAAGTTAATTGATTTGTAGCGATATGCTATGATTACTTATGAAAGAAGATCCATGCATTTTTATTTTCGAGAAGTGGTTAGATTTCCTTTTATTTAAGATAAAAAAAAACTTATTTATATTTCATTGCAATCCGTTATGAACGCTTTTACAGCTATGATTCCCGTCTTGAAATTTGTAAATAAATGAAGCGACATTAAGATTTGCAGTGTAATGCGTTTTTAACATTAGACCTACATGATGTTTAGATCTAAACTGTAACTACATGCATATATCGGTAAACATTAAAAAAAAACATGTGTTTGTTATATCTTAGAGCTGAAAGCGATCTTAAAATTTCTAGTTAAGATATATTTTAATGGCGCATTTGTAAATGACATAAAAAAAAGAAATTGTTTTTGTAGAATGACTCTCTCCCTGTGTACATAACAACCATGGTAACAGAAAGGGAAATAATTCAAACGAAATTAAGTTTCACGATTTTTAAAAATTAAATATCCTAGTGTATATTCATTATTTTAATTTTATGTTCCTATACATTCATTTTATATTTGATAAAGGTAATGGTAAGAAAAATAATCGCGTCAGCTAAATGCAGTTCGTGTGGTAGCAAAAATATATCTTTCATCGAAATTTTAACACCTAATATGTTTCGTCGTTGTGACAGCTTTTCCTTTCAAAGTACATATAAAATACTAGATTGAGAGCTCGAAAAAAGATTTATAAGCTTGTATATTTAAAAAAAAAAATAATGACAAATCCGAAGAGTAAGAAAAATGTAACGACAATACGTAATTATTTGATTAATACTACAAAATTTGACAGGAATTTCTGAAACAGTGGGTGCGCGAAATCTGGGCGTTGGGTCAAGAACTACTTACCATAAATATAAATATTCTAAAGCTAAGGAAAATTCCCTTTATAACATGTTTATGGCTCAATACGTCTCTTATATTAACTCTTTAAAAAAATAAATATGTTACATATATTAAAAGAATCGATTTATTTTACACCGAACTTATGAACAATTTCATTGTGTACATGTAAAACGTAAGATGACGTCATAGTGCATTTTGTTTGCTTTACTCGAAAAAGTTCCAATATTCAACAGCAAATATTTCTGTAACGGGTGCTCGAACCTTTCAACGTCCAATAAAGAAAATGTAGGTAAAATTCCCAGCTTTTAGGTTATGTCATTCATTTTTTTTTATCGTGTGCTGTAATTGAGATACAGCCTACAGAAGATAACACAAAATCAGTCATTTATGCGTAATTTTACTAACTTCCTGCAATTATATTCAATGTTCAATTAAAGTTTACGATAATTTCTTTACATCGCAGAGAAAAACTGATAATAAAAAATAATTGTTGTGTTTCCTCTCTTGTTTCAGAAAATATCAATTGTTTTATTATCCAAGTTATTTACAAAACGCCGTGATGCTGAAAATGCGTCAAAAGGCGCACTTGGCCGTTAAGGGGTTTTAACACACATAATGATGTTTGTGTTATTATTTTAGCATTAAGTCATTTTTTAAAGATGTATTCCATAATTGCAAAGGTATTTGCAAACATATTAAGTAGTGCGTGAGTGCGCATTATGAAAATATGTTTGCATAAATTCTTGCAGATATGCGAGACATATATTTGAAAAAAAAAATGAATAAGTGTTTATATTTTACTTTTTCTAACTCGTTGTCTTGTTTTTTAAATTTGAATTATTATTTAGAATACTTGAATTATCTCTAGCGTAAGTAATAATCAATATAAGTAATTTTAATTTTTGATTTTCGCTTCTGATTTTGTTTTTGCACGGTATTGAACGTTTGTGACGTCAGAATAAAAGGCAAATTATACATTGTAACCTTTTTACCCCTGTTCTGTGTTATAGTGTATTAAAATAAAATAAACCAAAAATATAGTTTCGGTTTTAGGTTACGATGACATATCTTGTGCATTCAAGAACAAAAAAAAGATACTGATCTTCAGAAAATGTGATTTTTTAAAATTTAAGCCATTACTCTAGTATTATTGCTAATTTAGTATGATTGACTTTCTTGCCACATGTAAAATTCAAGCTATTGAAATATATCTATGGTATAATTAGATTTGTAGAAAGAAATATTCAGTACGTCTGACGTAAACTATTTAGCTTATTTTCTCCATGTTATAAAAAAAAACCACTTACATCCATGAAGCGGTTTTTGTTTAGTACAATAATGAATAAAAAATGCTCATCTATTCAAAATACCGCATGGATGGAAAATATAGAGGTATGTTTTTAGAGAAGCATAATCTTAGACGTACATTACTGAAAAACATAAACAGCAGATTGACCTAATATTTATCTAAAAAAATATCTTTAAAAAATCTTAAGAAAGGAGAAATGGAATTGGCAGAAATCACATTAAAGCGTATTGTCCATTTGTCGGATTAAAGAGGTTCCACTGTAACAGTTTAACAACAAATCAATCATCATCCTAATTCTCCGTCCAGACATTTTCACTTATCAGTGTTTGTAAATGAAACATCATTTCTAAGTTCAAATTTATTACAACACATATAAATTAAATCTTTTTATAAACACATACAGTAGAAAAAAAATACATTGACTTGTTGCTTAAAAGAGTTATTCAACCCCACTCTTTTACCGAAAAAAATAATGTTTACAAGTTTGCCACTTCATGTTAAACATAATTTAAAAATAGAACATAGCGATAAAGATTAATTTAAAATCGGTTGATGAATGATCTTTCGTCTGTAAAGAAAAATAAATTAATGTTTGAGAGAAATAAGAGCATAATATTTTTCTTTAAAAAAAGAACTTTAAATATCTATTTGAAATTTTCACGTAAATAGAAAAAGAAATAAAAATTTTTTATTGATATTTAAAGATGTTTACCTAGTTACGTCTAATCATCATGGTGGTCCCCCTCACGTATGTCCCAGTCTTTATTGTAGGAGACCATGGGTTGTACCAGGACCCCGGGGACCAGCGACCATTGAGGAAGGCGAAGTGACAGCGGTTAAACCACCATCCTCCTCCGTAATCCGCAGCACAGTTATATACATTATATCTGTCATTATCTCTGTCTGGGGTGGAGAACGACATCCCAGACAGAGCGTTGCTGCTTCTCATGCTGTCTCCTGAAATACAATAGAATATGAAATATAATAGAATTAAATAAAATATGAAATATAACAATATAAATAGACATAACATTCATCTCAAGTCCACCTGCCATTATCTCTGTCTGGGGTGGAGAACGACATCCCAGACAGATCTCTGTACGAATAACCTGTGTCTAACATACCGTCTACTGTGAAATTAAACAGAATGAATGACAGAGGTAATCAATTCATATATCTTTAATCTAATTGTCAAACAAAATACTGAAGTATTTGTAATATATACGGCTTTAGGTGCTGGAAAGAACGAGCAATAATATTTTTTAGTTCAGTCCTAGAATTCCCGGTGTCTATACTAGCACCTGCAGAATAAGAGAAAATATATAACATAGCTAATATTTATTAATTTGCATCACATAAATCTTAATACTGAAGTACGTCTGAGATACACAGTTTCAGGTGTTGTTTCTTGTAAAAAGAGAGAAAAAAATGCAAGCCAACAAAATAGTGCGCAATTCACATAGTATCCTTTCTAGTGTAACAATAAACCACAGGCCTTTTGCACTATTAAAGCCTAGTTTTTTTTAGGGGGGGGGGGTCACTGGACACTGGAAATATCAGAAAACATTAATAAATGAATTATTCATATATGTCAGAGACCGTGCGTTTAAAATTTATGAAATGCAAATCATTCAATGAAACTCATTCATAATTGTTAAAATATAAAATATAATGTACCTGTAAATGTTTTAAAATATTATGTTCATTAAATAAGGCATAGGAATTGTAAATGTAAAACCCCGTGTGGTGTTTTGAATATGGATTTGTTTAACTTTTTTATTAGAATAAATTTCCGATCAATGTTTTTATTATCAAATCTTCGTAAACATTTCGAAATTTAAAATAATGACGCTCTGTAAACTTCTTATTCCATAGTGGATACAAATGTGAATAATTGAAAATCAGACTAGATTTTCATTTCATAGAAAAAAGGTATAGAATGATAGCAAATGTGAAATACTGTGAGGTGTTTCGCATTTGGCTTTTTTTTTAATTTGAATGCTTTTTTTATCAAATAATTTTTTTAAAAAATTATTTTTTTGTTAAGATTTTGATATAATATATAAATTAAGCTCTGTAATTATTTTTTTCGTAACAGTTGAAATGTAAATTATTAAAAAATTATCAGGAAACCCAAGCTGAATAACAATGGTTAAGCAAATTTAATTACTGAATTTAGTTATTAAAAAAAATAACATATATTTCCTGACATTTAAAATCAATAGTTTGAACTTTTAGCTACTTGACAATATAGAATTCAATGTTTGTGGAATTATACTTGCAAATGATAATCTGGAATAATTAACAGGTTAAATTAGCGTGGAATCAAAAACGTATACATAATATCATAAAAAACCGTATAGTTCTCTTTTTTTAACAACTTAAAAATACTTTCAGTACAGAATTATTTTATGATGATATACGTATTTTGAACAAATGTTTAGGAACTTAACCGGCATACACTTACCTAAGGTTCCCGTGGCAGGTCCTGCAAGAAAAAGCTGATATTTTCCTGCTTCGTTGGAGACAGAGAATCGGTCGTACATTTGATAAAGTGTCGTACCATTCTGGAGAGTGATGGATACATAAAGGGATGAGGTGTTTTCTTTTGTCAATTGATGGATTACGTCATTTCCTGTATAAATATATATGTGAAATCAGCTGAAAAATTCATTGCAATACAGTTAATTCTATTAAAATTATGAATCAACAGTAATGAACAATCAATTTTTTTTCCCTTGGCTGTAGACAGTAATGCTAAATTTGGTCTTATAAAAATATGCCGCTAAATGATTTTCTTCTCTCTTTTTTTCTAATTATTTGATGTATCAATCTAACACGATATGTAAATATCGTAAAACATATATTAACTAGTGTTACATTCAGATCTTTATTACGTTTTGATTTTTACCTGTCACAATTTTTTTTAAACTTTGAAGGAATAAAATGTTGTTATTTGAAAGCAATTTAAACTTACCAATCCAGATATCCTGTTCTGGTGAACCAAATCCATTTTTATATTCCGTCCAGGTCCTGTTAAAGTCCAAGGATCCAGTAATTCTCTTTTGGATTGCCTTTAAAGATCACACATATAGCAAATCATTGTTTTCAACATTTATGTGATCAATATGTTATAATATAAAACAAAACTATTCATATTTCTTTCTATTTTCTGTTAAATAAGAAAAAAAAACATTGAGTGTGGATATGAATTGTACAATATACCCTGAAATATAAATCATCTACAAACCATCCATCCCCCGCCCATTGTGGTCATATCGCAGTACGCCTGGACAGGACTGGTGATGGTTCCATAGGGATAGATTTCATACACCCCTGAATTAAAGTATCCATCTGATTGAAGGTCCTTACAGTCTATTGGAATAACTAAAGCAGAGAAAAACCCACAATCCATAAACGATAAATAAAAAACTAGGAGACTTATTGTTCACAGAACAATAAGAGGTCTTTCCACCTTCTTGAATTTCGAATTTGTTTTATATCTGTCTCCTTCAAATCAAATTCCATGAAAAAGAAACCAAAATTGTCTTAAATATATGTATTTTATACAAAAATATATTTGACCTTGGAAAATATTCAAGGTCAAAGGTCGAAAAATAATCGACCTCTGCTTCTACGAATAGTTTTTAAGTTATATTTAATATATACAAAGACGTTAAAGGGCAATAACTCATATAAGGGGTCATATATCCTTCTTTTTATAAGTAAGTTATGCTAGATTCAAGACATTAGTATGTTCTATCTACAGTTTCTGAGGAGTAAAATTACAAGGTTTTTCATAAATAACTTTTAAAATAATCTTTATACAAAAATGAAATATTTAAAACAGTTTTAAGATACATATTATTGATGCAAATACATTTAGTATATGTTTGAAGACAAAAGAGATATAAAAAAATTTCTCAAATTTGGAATGATTGACTTTGACCTTTGCATTATTTTTGATCAAAGGTATATTATGCAGTTATATCCCATGTCTCTATCACTTCTCGTTTTGAAAATTTTTTAATTATATCTAAAATTAAAAAAGTTTCATGGGAAATATTTGAAGGGGTCAGAATACTTTCGCACTGAAAGATTCCAGAGTCCTCTTAATTAGTCAAAGACTTTAGTGAAGGTTTCATATTTCTACAGTTTACGGTTTCGAAGGAGTAGCGATAACAAGGTTTTCCGTACAAAGGGCAATAACTTTTGATAGGGTCAATCTTAAGGAATACGAATTAAATCTTTAAAAAAGTTTTAAGAGTACATATTAAAATTAAGACAGTTTGTATATGTTAAAAAAAAAAGATATAAAAAGAGCTTAATTTCTCAAATTTGGAATATTTTACCTTTGACCTTATTAATTTCATGATCAAAATAACTAAACCTTATGCAGAAAGTCCTATGTCTCTATCACAAAATATAAAAATTTTTAATTATATCTAAAATTAAAAAAGTTTCATGTTAATAACGCGCGAAGGGGTCACTGAATACTTTCGCAATGAACAGATTCCAGAGTTCCCTCAAGTAGTCAAAGACATTGGTGAAGGTTTCATATTTCTATGGTTTACGGTTTCGGAGGAGTAGCGATAACAAGCATTTCTTGCGAAAGGGGCAATAACTTCGAAAGGGGTCAAAGTTCATACACGTTGGGTCAAATTTGTTCATAACTTTTAAAGATATTTTACGATGAAAAGTTAAAGTCTTTTCGATAAATCTTGAAATAAAAAATCAGCGGTTCCAAAATTAATAAGAAACAGAAGTAAATTTATTTTCCACAGAAAGGTAATGGACTAGATCTGCACACCAAAAAATAGTGCAAATACCATAAAAAATAATACTGGAATCATACTATGTATATACAATATATAGAAATAACTAAAAGAAAATAATGCTGAAATCTTACTATGTATATACAATGTACAGATAAAATTCATAAAAATAATGCTGGAATCATACTATGTATATACAATGTACATAAATATATTTTATTTTTTTAAATATTTACTGGAAAGTTATTTTATACAATGAAAACAACTCAAAGAAAAAAATACTCGAATCATACCATATATATACAAGTAGTGAGAGGATACATAATACATGTACAAAGGAGTACGGTTATATGTTTATTAAATCTTGTAAATTTCCTAAATACTTTTTGTGAAGCATTTTTTGTTACGGAAATTGAAATGATTAGAAATAATAAGACCTGACTATCAATTAATTAATAATGTTGAAATAAAGATTCATGATATTTATCCTTTGTGGCATGCCCAAAGAAAAATAACAGATATACATACCATTGAGTAGTGCACCAGCGATCCTCATTATGATACTTAAGACATGAAGATCCAGGGGTATATAATTTTTTGAGAGTGAAAAAAGATACTACACTTCCCTTTGATTCGCTGCACACCTTATCAATGCCAATCTCTTATATTTTCCTATAAAGTTCTTTTTTATCAAGCCATTTTGCGGTGTATTACAGTGAAATAATGGTAGTGGCACACAGAAAAAAGGATTAAAACTAATATATAATAACACAAAATAGCCCATATTAATTAAAAAGCACATATCTGCGCTGTGAATTTTAAAAAACATAATGTAGAAAAAAAACACCAATTATAAATATATAAAAATATACATCAGTTACTGGCTGATTTAAATTCAAATTTTATTCAGTGGATATTGATTTGTCGAACAAAATAAACCTAGACCTATTGTAAGGGAATAGTTAGTCTCTCCATTATGCCCCCAAATATATCGGTGCCCTTGTGAAGATGTATAGGCCTTTAAATTTGGAATCTTTAGGACTATGATTAAAAGCTGTACATATTATTATAGTCAAATAAGGGTAACATAAATTATCATACAAAAAGTAATCAGAAAAAATTGCATAACCTGTGTTGAATGTATAAAATGAATTCATTGTGGATTTTTTAAATTTTGGAAAATAAAAATATAAAGCCATTTTGAAATACTCACTAAAAAGAATAAATTTGTAATCTTATTTAAAATTTACAATTATTGCAAAATGCGATGATTTAGACTCTAAAAAGAGTAAAAAATTTATCGTGCCCAAGCGCTAGGTGAACATTGTTTTTTTTCCATTATGGAGAGTCATCATATAAGCCATTTTGAAATGCTCACTAAAAAAAACTATTACAACAAAAGCAGAGTAAATTTTAAACGATATTCAGTCTTAGCGACCTCGGCACCATCGCTAAAAATGTCAAAATTAATTCCTCGCTAAAAATTCTGCTAATACGGTTTTTTTTTTTCAATTATGAAAATATGAAAAACACCTATCCCTCTGTGTTCATTGATTGATTGATTGATTGATCGTATGTTGTTTAACGTCCCTTTTGAGAATTTTTAACTCAATGGAGATGGCACAACTAGCCTGTGGAGAGTAGAAAATTTTGCTCTTACTTGGCACTCAGCGCCATTGGTTATGGAAGGGATCTTTTTCATGCCAGCACCTACTGCGACACGGGACCTCGGTTTATACGGTTTCACCCAAAGGATCGGTATCAAAGTCCGACAGTGGGAATCCAACCCGCGACGTAAGGATTAAATCCTTACATCACAACTCTAGAGCAGACGCTCTATCCACTGCGACAAGTTGGCGACCTATCTGTGTTCAGTAATCTAGAAGTGGAAAAAGAATTAGATACCTTAAATGATCAGTACGAACTTGACCCTGCAACAATGCAGGTAACAACGTTTGGACAATTTGAAATCACGAGATCTTACCTAAGTAGACTGAAAGAAAAATACAAGTTTTCAACTTCATAAACATCCATTCCCCATGATGAATTCAATTTCAGGCTTTTTTGGTCATTGACAGCTGCTTTTTCAATAAAAATTGAAAACGTAAATTTACTTACCTTGTAACTTGTCATTTGCAAAATTATATTGTTAAAACAGATTGTGATTTCACACACAATTACTCTGAAGTTGACATAAAAAAATGTTTGCGTTTCGCAGCACAGTTAAGGTTATAAACGGAAATATCGTTGATTTTTTTTAAGATAAAAACTAACTACATACTTTATTAGGATGGGCGATTCTTTTTAGGACTTCACTGATATCAAAATAATGTAATGTGGTTGAAATCTACATGTTGGGAACATTTAGATTTTTTTTATTTCGACGTCACATGATTTTAGGAATTAAACTTGCAGATTAGAGGTCATCTATAAATTCCAATATTGCAAGGGCATAAACAAGTTAAAAATCTTAGTTTAATTTATAATCCTTTTCAACACTATATGTAGTTTGTGAAAAGTGCAGCGAACCTATATAGATTCCTTTTTATAATTGCTAAAATTTAATTTCTTGGACGGCAGGTTGAATATTTTGCTGGTCAATTACATTAAATATAGCTATAATTAATTTATTTGCTAGATTTCATGAGGTTCGCAGCACTTTTCAAATATCTTAATGCGTCTTGAGTGTACATGTAAAAACTTGACAAGATACATTTAGGGTATGCCCTTGCAATAAATCGATGATTTATTAGTATAAGGCCCTTCCATTACGTTTTCAATGAATCTGCATACAAACACACGACAGTATCACTTTTCTGGAGAATGTACAGACAGTTTATAAATAAAATACTAAAACAGACATCGCACCCAAGTTAACGTCCTTTTATTTAATTGCAAGTAATATTCTATTTAAGAGCAAAAGACATTTTTCATTATATAAAATGTGAATTGATCAGCCTCTCACTGTGTACAAACTGCGTCATTTTTGCGAGATGACGTCACATTGACAAGTGCATTGCGATCACTGCATCGTTTGTATACTGTTGTGTGGGATTTAACAAACGACAAAACTGCAAGTAATAGTAAGTGTGTATGTAGTATACAGCTATCCAGCTGTTTGAAATAGCAAATGATTTTATCTTGTGGTATTTTGAGGACCTTATATTATGTGTGACGTCATATATGTACTGTAACATTTCATGTGGAGAATAAAATGAGTAATGTGTTAACTTTATGTATTCCCGGCTCGGCTTGAATTTATTACTCGATTTAGCAACACGAAAGAAAGCGCATCGAAGCTTCGCGGAAATTGAAAAATATGAAAATCCTTGTGTTGTGGCCAAACAGTAATGGAATTTTAAGTGCATTTCTTGTGTTGTAGAAAAAATGGAGAAAAAGAGGGGTTAATCACTGAAATCACTAATAGATATTGTTTTCTTAGGCCTGTTTACAATTAATTAAGATCTTTTAAGAATTTCTACATCACTGTAACGTTAACCTACCAGTTTCTACTTTCGGTTGACTTTAGAGCTCTAAGAATCAATTTTATCAATTTGTAACCTCATTTTTTAAAAAGTATAGTTTAAGTTTGAGTAGAGGGGTTCAGACACCATTTTTTATCCTGTTGACTGAGATGTTGTTTGAAACCGCAAATTTACGCTTAATTTATTTAGTTGATCTAGTTAACATGATTAATATGATTAATATTGATTCGACAGGACCGTCCGGATTTTTTGTGTAGTCCAATTTTAAGACATGTTTAAGAGGAAATTATGTGAATTTATGAAAAATTAGCGATTCTAAAGACAAACCATTTGACATATTATTGATAATTATCTAATTTCATCTGATACATGTAGCACTTATTTAGAAGAAAAAGATTAAGTGAATAGGAAAATATATTTTTGTAAATTTCTTTAACATGCATCATGTTAAATTAAAGCATCATCCTGATGTTTAAACAAATATTATGAGAACATTTATTCTAACTTCAGGTTTCCCGTAATATAGAGTTGTAAAGTAATGTATTTTCTTTTAAATCAACCTATTATTATTATAAACAGATTATAGTGAGATACATGTATATATCCATTAGCATGATTAGGTAGAACAAAGGGTTTCAATGTTTTTGTTTGCCATATTTTTTAGTTAAAAGCATTTAAATCGCAACAAATTCATATTAAACTGAAAAAAGTAACGAACAGAATGTTGGAGAGTGCAAGGTGTTTTTGTTAGGACTTATAATTAAAAAAAAAACTTAATTTGCAGTCAAAAACATTGTAATACATTGAAAATATTTTATTAGTTATTTATTGTAAAAGTACAAAATTCGTTTGGGATTAAATTTTGTTTTTTTGTTGATCACAATTTTTAACCAAATTGAATTCTATACGAAATTATATATTTTTGTATATATTCATATGATTAAGAATAGGTTGACTTTCAAAACAACAAAATTAAATGCCTTGAATCTATTTTGGATGACAAATCAACAATTTAAATTTTATCCTCACTAAAATTTGTGCTTCTACAGTATTTATGAAATAGTATAATGCTGCTACATGAACACTGTATTTATTCCAGTTATTAGGGATTAATTAACATTTTGCCAATGAGATAATTAATCATACTATATATGGGTAACTAATGCATATAGTGTGCAATTTTGCAATTATTAACATGCACATATATTCCAAAATTTTTGCATTATCATTGTCAATATCTACTGCTACATGTATCATGGTGCATGATGAGAGCCATTCATTGTCATTTCTAAATTGCTTAGACACTGAATTGCTTTGACACTGAAAAATGAAAAAGTTTTTTTTAATCAGGATTAAAGAAAATTAGAAAAGAAATTAAAAAAAAAATAGAAATTCTAGATGTAAATTTAACGTGTTTTACAGAGTCAAAGTTCTCAGCATGCTCAAAATGATGAGAGCAGTTTTTAATTCTTCATAAAAAATAATGGGTTTAAATGAAGTGATTCTTTTGATGGTATAAAACTTCCTGTTGAAAGTGAATTACAATGTCTAAAACTTTAAACCCTGGAACATATCAAATTTTGAAAGAAAGCCAAGCAGTTAACAGGTTAATGATGTGACCTTTTGTGATGACACTTGAGATAAAAAGATAAAAGTTGAAAAATGAGCATGATGAGAAGTATAGTATATATATATATATATATTTATATTAGGTATTTTTGTTAGGGGTTACGTGTATCAAATTACTACAAGCAAAAACAGACATGCCATTTAAAGATTTCACTATTTTACTGATCATGCAGTCGTTATTGAAAAAAATAATTCACTGAAATAACACTGTCAGACACCCTTGGTTTGTGTACTTATGAAATTAAGACATGCATTCAATGCCTTCATTGGGTTCTTTCATTTTAATATGTGTATCCGGCATAAAGAATTTTTTTCTGTGCATGCTTAAAATTATTATTTATTTATTTATAGCCAATGTCGTCTTAATCATTTCAATTTTCACATTTTTTAAGCTAGGGGGTAGCTAATTACCCCCTGGCAACGTAGTTGTTGGGGATATAATAACACAATTGTTTGTGTTTGTTTAAATTTCATAGACTTGATGGCTGAATTAATCAATTATATGAATGCATGATCAAAGCTTGTTTTGGCTAATTAATAGACACAGTATATTTTTCCATTTATATGCATGCATGTTACATGTAGTAAGCTTTTCAGAAGATCTTCTATTGTTGCACTTGCAACAAAAACTTAAAAACCTATAAAGAAAATCTGTGTAAAATTCAAGTCTTTATTTTTAATCTAGTAAATAAATTGTATTGTAATTTCTTTTTTATTTTACTGCTAAATAAACATTTTGTAAGCTTTTAAACATTTACAGCTTCTTAAAGAAAAACAAAATGAAACAAAGAGCAAAGACAAAGAATGTCAGACTTTATATATACATGACTAAAAAATTAAACAAAGGGTTTTTATTTCTAGATCCATGGCATGAAATAGAATTTTCATCTTTTTGGAACCCCTCCTCCCTTGTCCCAATGTATTTGATTTACATTTAACAGTTTCACATACATTTTACTTTTCAATGTTTATAAGTTATTCATAGCTTAATCATTTTTAGATAATAAACATAATTAAGACCTGTTAAAAAATATATAATAATAAACTTTTACTTCATTGAATAATATTTTGCAGATAACAAACACAGATTCATGTTCTGCATCTATAAGCACTGTACAGAGTGTTGAAAACTGTCCATCCAGTGAGCAAGAATGGATAGAAGCTTCTCGAAGAAAAAACTGTTCAGCTTTTGCCAGCCAGTGTAGTGAACCTGACAAGTTTGTGTACCACTGTGTGATCAATCCATATCTCAATGAAACATTGGAAGTTTGTGTATATAAAAAGATCATTGTGTTTGGTATGTATACATAAGATGGCTTGTGAGTCAATGAAGGAAAGATTGGGTGAGTTTGGGGTGAAAGTTTGTTTCGTATGTTATATTACAAGTGTAAATCCTATACTTTTACGCACTTATGCCTTCACACTAGCTGGTTTCAAAATCTTAATCTATAAGACTGTGCCTTAAGTATGAAACAGAAAAATGAAATGATCATGATTATTGCATATATTGTTGTATGTATATAGTACATGTACCAGCAGTGATATATAAAATCTTGTTTGTGCTTTTTATGAATGATCTGATTTGTCTATTGTTATCCGTTTTCATCTGTCGTCGTGCATCGTTCGTCGTCTGTTAACTTTTGAACATTTTCTGCTTCTTCTCTGCAACCACTCAACCAATTTCCAGCAAATTTGGCATACAACATCTATGGGTGAAGGGGAACAAACATTGTGAATTTCATTGTCCCGCCCCCCCCCCCCCCCCGGGGCCTGAGGGGTTGGGCCAAAACTATTAAATATTATGGGGAGACAAGAAAAACATGTCACATGACTAAAAAGACATATGACGTCATAATCGGTGATGATATACATGTTAAACGTTGTTAAAATCAACAATTCTTGTGTACTTTTATTCTAAATTCTAAAATTGTTTTTTAAACATTAAATTTTAGAAATTATTATCAATAAAGTTTTTAAAGATCTTGCCACCATTTAGATATTCTGAAGTTGCCCAATCCACACATTTGTTTCTCTTTACCCTGCAGTCTAACTTTAGTGACTTCATAGACATAGTGTTTCTCAGTGCTGTGCAGATGATAAATTTCTGAAGCAAATTTTCTAAATTAATTTTTTTTTCGTGTTTGCTAGCAGAGCCTCCCTCTATTTAGATAAATTTGAATGTTTTTGTTTTCGTGTGACGTCACAATTGATTTCCCGCACTCGGATAATACAAACGTGAAGCGTTTTTATCATGCTACTTCAACGATGTCCCGTGCGATATTGAGGAAGGCTTCACCCTGTGATATTTATGCAGTTTATAATTATGATGAAGGACTGACATTCAATAATAAATTTAGAAATATTTATTGACAGAATTTTTTTTTCCAAATGAGGTTTTTGTTGTTAAAGCTACCTTGAAAAATGCAGAAATTATCCCACCCTAACACTATATAAAATTAAAACAATTGTTTTCAGATAATTTAAATACTATGAATATTCTGAAATATTTGTGTTTATAGTGATATCTATCATATTTATCGTTTTTGCATAAAAATTTGCATTATGGACTCCGTTATAGGCCCGTAAACATGAAGTATTCTAAACTCATACAAACTCTAAACAGGGCGGTATTTATGGGGCGATATCTTTTCAAAAATTCAAGAAATCCCATGGAAGGACCGTTTTAAAATGTTAAGTAAATATTAAATTAGTAATATGGTATAAGAAATACGAAAAAAATTCATTGACAGGAATTTTTTCAGCTAAAGGTCCTGTTCCTCCTTAATTAATGCAATCTTTAAAAATCTTCTTATTTACTCCTGGACATCAAGCAGTCAAACTTTTATGAATGTAATGAGCATTGAATCCTCTACCGAAATTGTGAAAGGAATGGCCCCAGGGTCAAGGGTTCTAGTGCTAGGGTGGGGCTCTATTGATTATATAGTGAAAATACATTATTTCTTTAAAAATCTTCCTCTCTGCTCCTGGGTATTAGACAAACTAACTAAGTACATAGTTATGATGAGCAAGAAAGCATTTTCAAAAATTGTGAATTTTATGGCCCCGGGGTAAGGGATTTTGTTGTTAGGGCGGGGATCAATTTATTATATAGGGAAAATACATTAATTCTTTGAAAATCTTCTCCTCTGCTCCTGGGAATTAAATAAACTAACTACCGGTAAGTATATAGTTATGATGAGGAAGAATTCCCCTTCCAAAATTATGAATTTTATGGCCCCAGGATCAGGGGTCTTGTTGTTAGGGCGTGGCTCTATTCATTATATACAGAAAATGCAGAAATTCTTTGAAAACCTTCTTCTCTGCTCCTTGGTATTAAATAAACTAACTAAGTATAAAGTTATGATGAGCAAGAATTCCTCTTCCAAAATTCTGAATTTAGGGCCCCAGGGTCAGGGATTCTGGTATTAAGGTACTTGGACACAGAATTAAAGTTAATATTTTCTGTATACCATAATATCATGAATTATATATTTTGATAGCATTTCACACAAGAATTTATTAAATATCTCACTCCATTTTAAAGTTATTAAAACTTAAAATTAATTTTTGGCAGGTTTGATTGACACATCCTTGCACTTTCACAAATTTTAACTTTATTCTTAATCCTTAGAAAATTAATGGGCTCTATTGATTATATAAAGAAAATGCAGAAATTCTTTGAAAATTTTCTTCTCTGTTCCTGGGTATTCAGCAGATGTGCTACCTATATAGCTATGATGAGCAAGGGCATTTCTTTGAGGGGAAGGGGGAAGGCTCTACTTATATACTGAAAATAAATAAATTAATTAAAATCTTCTCCTTGGTATTAATCAAACATTTTTGATTATTGCTTAATATTACTGATATGTCGAAATGCATTTTTTGTTCCTCTACTCTGTCTGTGGGTAGTAAGTATCCAAACTAAACATTCTAAGTGTATAGATTAGTTGTGATTAACAATGATACCTCTTTAAAAACTGTGAATGCCATGACGTCTAGTTTAAAACATGAATCAAATTCAATCTTTGGAAAGTTGTTGCATAATGCTCAGGTGACCTATAAGGCCCATAGGCCTCTTGTTTTATATTTTGGCTCTGCGTGAAAAGTAGGAATTGCGTTGTTCATCTTCTCTTTATCTTATGTTTTTCTGTCTAATTGCAAATTTTTCATCTACGATACCCCTTTTACTTCTGCAAACAATTTTGCAGGATATTGTACTGAATACAGCTACAGTGCAAACAGAATTCAACAAAGTCTTGGAACACTTTGCTCCGGCTTTACCCAAAACCCATGTCCAACTGGATATCCCTCTGATGAAGCATATAAATGTGAGTATATTATAATAATGAATTATATGGATATAACAAACAGAATTCAAGCCTAAAAGTCCATTTAACAATACAAAAACATGCAAAGCAATAATGGATCTAGGATCAGGTGCCATGGAGGAGTGAGCATCTCTATATGATCCGTCACACCCGCCATGTGCTCCTGGTTTTGATAGGGAAATATTGGAAAAATCAGTCAATAAATCATTTGTAAATAATGGGGAAACAATAAGCATTTAAATGACGGCCAGCATTTGAATTATAGATACAGTAAAACTTGGTTTTAACGAGGTCACTGGGACCTTTGAAATTTCTTCGCTATATGCGAATTCGTAATAACCTTATAAGAAAGTTACTAAATTTATATATCTGGGGATCCAAGATGACTTCGCTATATCCGTAAATTCGCAATATCCGTGTTCGTACTAAACGAGGTTTGCTGTAAATTGTATTTGGTGACAAGGTCATTATATCTACCATAGAACTTAGAAAATGATGACTGTAGACGAGACTGCTGGTATTATTGTTTCAGCAACTTGTTTGTCAATAACTTGCCTTATTTAAAAAAAAAACAATCATACGTAGAGCATGGTCTTGAAAGAAAAAAAAATCAAAACTGTCTTTAAAAAAAATCACTTAACAAATTGGTTTTGGTGTCTGTAAATCATTACTGCTACATTTTCAAAAGTGTCATAAGTGCTACATACTCATTACCACAACAAAAAGGGTACTGCTACATAAAAAAATATGTATATCACAGATACATCACCTTTTTCATTAGCAGCAGCTTATACATGTTCTGGTTGATAAAAAAGTACTTTACAGAAATTGACAGTGTTTTCAGGCAACATTGATTATGATAGCCTCCAGGGAATGGAATACTGCATGATGCAGTGCTGATTAATTTTGTCCAATAACAGTCAAGTATTTTTTTGTTTTAAGAAAAAGAGACCATAATTTTTTTTTTTTATAAAATTATGTATATTAGGCCATCCTTAAAAAAATGTTTGTTTGGAATTGCCGCCTGGGGGTTTTCAGACACAGGAGGGAGGGAGGGAAATTATTATTTTTTTCTACAAATTGAAGCTAATTAATAGACATTAAAAATCGCAATGAACAGTGGTGATTTTTGTTTATTTCCCTCTTTCTATTATTTGTTTAATATCATTTTGGTCTAAAATATACACAGAATGGTACTCAAGTATCAATCTTTCTTCGATGTTAGATTTTCTTATCAATTAAAAGTCAAATTTCAGCGTCAAACTTTTTCTTTATTTTAAAAATCTTTTTATAACAATTTCAGTCACCCGCGTGGAGCAGTGGTTAGAGCGTCTGCTCTAGAGTCGCGAAGTAAGGAGTTAATCCTTACGTCGCGGGTTCGAATCCCACTGTGGGACGTGGAGACCGGTCCTTCGGATGAGATCGTATAAACCGAGGCCCCGTGTCGCAGTAGGTGCTGGCACGTAAAAGATCCCTCACTGCTCAAAGGCCCTGAGTGCCGAGCATAGGACAAAATTTGTAGCCCTCCACCGGCAAGTGGTGGCGTCTCCATATGAGTGAAAAAATCTCGAGAGAGACGTTAAACAACATACAATCTATCTATAACAATTTCATTAGTGTATTTCATAGCATTTCTCTTTGCAATTTAGCCCTTCTTTTAGATAACCCTTACAAAGAGTGCGAACCACACAAAATTTCTTAAGAATAGTTGGGATGTTTTGTGGAAAAACGGGAGGGGGTGCTTGGTATGTTCTAGAGTGTTCGCCATGAATCAGTTTTAACATTCGGTTTCAAAGATTTCAAAGACTCATACTGACAGACAACATTTTTCCTTTTGTATTTGGGAGTAAACATTTCTGACCCATGTAACTGGGAACTGAACGATCAATTTTAATTTCAACATGACGGACTTATCCTATCAAGTTCAAAGGGCAATTTATTACTAGTAGCTCTTTTTAGGTATCGGTGTATCATTCCATTTAATTTTTTATTCACCTTTTATTTTTATGAAGATGCATAAATGTTCTGGTCTTCAACGCTTGAATGTTTCACATCCACTGATCCAACTTGGTCTGACATTTTGGCGGCTTTAATTCAGTCAAATCGCCACCTATATTCCCTATATCATAAATACTATGAATAAAGCGTTTTATTGACTGGTGTTGTTAAATTTATGCGAGCTCAAACCCGACTTTAAAAAGCTGTTTCGAAGAACGAACTAACTTGTAAAAAGCGATGTCGGACATAAGACGGTAAATATTTTGCCTATAAAATTGTTTGAGCGGGGGGTATTTCAATGAGGCGGGCGGCAATTCCAAACAAACTATAATTTTATTTTGGCCTTATCTGCATCTTAAGTGTATACCTAGTGATCGCCATTCTTGCGTTTGTGTTACTTTGTTTTGTTGTATCCTGACATTCTGTTATTTGGAAGTTGCATCAGTATTTTCGCGGTGCAATAAATCAATCTTCTAATCAGAATCCAAAAATAAAAAAAAAATGTGGGAAAAGTGTCTATGCCAGTCATTAGTAAAATTGAATGACAATCTGTCAATAAAATACTACTAATCCTACAGTCGTGGTCTGATTTCAATTCAACTTGGCACACAAACAAGAGTAAACCACGAGTAAAATACATAATTTGTGCATCATTTTTTTTTTATTTTTAATGAATTAAGGAATGTCTGTGAAATATCTTTGAAATGCTCTAACATTAATATAATTTTTATTATTTTTTAGGTCACCTGAGTAAACTCAGGTGACCTATTGCTATCTGTTTTCGTCCGTCGTCGTGCGTCGTGCGTCGTGCGTTGTGCGTTAACATTTGAACATTTTCAGCTTCTTCTCTGCAACCACTGAACCAATTTCAACCAAATTTGGCATAAAGCATCTATGGGTGAAGGGGAACAAAAATTGTGAATTTCATGATCCCTGCCCCCCTGGGGCCTGTGGGGTGGGGCCAAAACCACTAAAATTAGTGCAATCTTTAAAAATCTTCTTCTTTACTCCTGGACATCAAGCAGTCAAACTGTTTGCATGATTGTAATCAGCAATGAGTCCTCTACCAAAATTGTGAAATTCATGGCCCTGGGGTCAGGGGTTCTAGTGCTAGGGCGGGGCTAAATAAGTAGGTAGTGAAAATGCATTATTTCTTTGAAAATCTTCTTCTCTGCTCCTGGGTGTTAAATAAACCAACTTAGTACATAGTTAAGATGAGCAAGAGTGCCTCTACCAAAATTGTGAATTTTATGGCCCCAGGGTCAGGGGTTCTGGTGTAAGGGCGGGGCTCTATTGATTATATAGTGAAAATGCATTAATTCTTTGAAAATCTTCTTTTCTGCTTCTGGGTATTAAAAAAACTCTAAGCACATCGTTATGATGAGCAAGAGAGCCTCTTCTAAAATTGTGAATTTTATGGCCCCAGGGTCAGAGGTTCTGGTGTTAGGGTGGGGCTCTATTGATCATATAGTGAAAATGCATTAATTCTTTAAAAATCTTCTTCTCTGCTCCTGGGTATTAAATAAACTAACTAAGTATAAGTTATGATGAGCAAGAGTGCCTCTACCAAAATTGTGAATTTTATAGCCCCAGGGTCAGGGGTTCTGCTGTTAGGGTGGGGCTCTATTGATTATATAGTGAAAATACATGAATTCTTTAAAAATCATCTTTTCTGCTCCTGGGTATTAAATAAACTAACTAAGTACATAGTTATGATGAGCAAGAGTGCCTCTACCAAAATTATGAATTTTATGGCCCCAGGGTCAGGGGTTCTGGTGTTAGGGCGGGGCTCTATTGATTATATAGTGAAAATACCTGAATTCTTTGAAAATCTTTTCCTCTGCTCCTAGGAAATAAATAAACTAACTAAGTGCATAGTTATGATGAGCAAGAGTGCCTCTTCCATAATTGTGAATTTTATAGCCCCAGGGTCAGGGGTTCTGCTGTTAGGGCGGGGCTCTATTGAATATATAGTGAAAATACATTAAATCTTTGAAAATCTCTTTCTGCTCCTGGGTATTAAAAAAACTAACTAAGTACATAGTTATGATGAGCAAGAGTGCCTCTACCAAAATTATGAATTTTATGGCCCCAGGGTCAGGGGTTCTGGTGTTCGGGCGGGGCTCTATTGATTATATAGTGAAAATACCTGAATTCTTTGAAAATCTTTTCCTCTGCTCCTAGGAAATAAATAAACTAACTAAGTGCATACAGTACCGACCAGACCCAACCTGACACAAAGCAGTCCCAGAGCAGTCCCGGGGACTGCTTTCTGGGACTGCTAAAGCAGTCCCGCAGCGGTCCCAGAGCAGTCCCACAGCGGTCCCAGAGCAGTCCCACAGCAGTCCCAGAGCGGTCCCAGCAGTCCCAGCGGTCTCAGAAAGCAGTCCAAGCAGTCCCAGAAAGCAGTCCCAGTGGGCGGGGTTTATTAATTTAATGGGCGGGGCTAGCTCAGAAATGAGATTTCCAATAAACAATGGCACTATAAAAGGCAGCTGAATTTTTGTTGAGCAGTATGCCAGGAATCCTTACAATGCGAAGGCCATTTACATGTATGAGCAGTACCCGCATAGATTTGAAACAATTTGAAATAATATTTATTGGAGGAAGAAAGCTTACACACCTACATAAATGAATTACACTGAACATGAATATTTAATCACAATTATCTTGGATTTTTTTTTTGGGAGTGATACTGGCTCCCATATTTATTTTCTATACAGAAAATTAAAATTGAATTAATTACATTTCACCAGAATTAGTTTTAAATAGATCTAATCATTATAGATCATGGCCGATTTCAATACTATCGGGATACTCTAAAGGCATTTTTTTTTTAAAGTATTAGGGCTTTTGAAAAATTCGTTGCTAATTTTGCCAAGTAATATTTTTCAGTATTGATTATTCATTACTGATGTCAACATGTTAATTTAAGAATTATTGTTTTATTTGTAAATTGTATTAGTGACCAGTATAGAATCCTACGATAATGTTCAACATTAATTAATCTTGAAAGGAATTTATACACATTTCATTTTTCTTTTTTTTTTCTTTTTTTTTTTTTGCATTACATTTTTTACATAGATTGAAATTAGGGTCATTGTTAATTGAGCAGCATGTTCAATGATGTGTAACACTGATACGTGTACCCAAATAACATACATGATTGATTTTCTGCCCAAAGGCGATTGAAACCACAGGTGTTTATACCATTTTATTTATACAAATTATCGGCCAGCTGGTAAACAAAAGCAAAACAAAAAAGACATAAATCACAATTCTCAGTATTTTCAACTGTTTATTTATTTATTTATTTTTTTAATTTACTCTTTTAATAACTTTTTTTATAAATTTTAAACAAAATTCATCTGTATATTCCCGTATAATTGTTCACATTGCTTATTTTACGGAAGAATGGTGGCATAATTTTATTTTTATGTCATAAAATAAATTGTTAGATTTTTATTTGAGGGTTGCATGGAATACTCTTTTAGCGTGGTGCTTGTGAAACGTGTAGCCTTTCCAATTAAAATATCTTGTATCTAAATGACTATTGTAATGATTTGTTAAATAGTGCCAAATGCAAATTTTGAGTATTTAATTTTAGATTTAATAATAAAATAAATCTACATGTAGATATTTTTTCTCATGAGCCTGAAGTTTTGTATATTTTAGAAATAAAAATCTCCTCCTGACTTCCTTATTTAACAACTTTATTTTTAAAAATATTCTATATTACATTTGTTTAAATATACAGTCCCTAAAACTATAAATTAACTATAATACATGTAATCTCAAGTTATTAAAAGATTATAAGAAATCCTTGCTTATCAAACAGTTTAAACTCCTCTCTACTGCAAGTAAACAAAACAACAGGGAGCCTGCAAATTCAGAATACACAAGGGGGCGGAGCTATCATGTCACTCAGAACCTTTGTCACACATGAGTGAACAAAGCAGTCCCAGAAAGCAGTCCCAGGGGCAGCTGGGACTGCTGGGACTGCTTTTCATAGCAGTCCCAGAGCAGTCCCATAGCGGTCCCGGAGCAGTCCCACAGCGGTCCCAAAGCAGTCCCACAGCGGTCCCAAAGCAGTCCCGGGGACTGCTTTCTGGGACTGCTTTGGTGTCAGGTTGGGTCTGGTCGGTACTGTAGTTATGATGAGGAAGAATGCCTCGTCCAAAATGGTGAATTTTATAGCCCCAGGGTCAGGGGTTCTGCTGTTAGGGCGGGGCTCTATTGATTATATAGTGAAAATACATTAAATCTTTGAAAATTTTCTTCTCTGCTCCAGGGTATTAAGCAGATGAACTACCAATATAGTTATGATGGACAAGGGCCCATATCTTCCACAATTGTGAATTTCAAGGCCCCAGGGTCAGGGGTACCATACGGGGGGGGGGGGGGTGGTTGTACTTATATACTGAAAATGAATGAATGGTTTGAAATCTGCTCCTTGGTATTAATCAAATACCCTAAAATCTTGAAAATAAGCCGCGGCTTATTTTAAGTTTTGGTAAGAAAATGGGGGCTTATTTTCAAGACCGGCTTATTTTCAAATTGCGGCTTATTATCAATGCAAAAACTTGGTAAGAGAAGAGAGCACTCTTGTATTCATTGGCGTTTCCCGGTGTACGTCTTTAGGTATAAGGTGTACATGGTGTAATCAATCGTCTACTTTATGTTTTGAAAATGCCGATCCCGAAAAGTTAATTTCATTGTATACAGCATATGAATTTACATGAATTTACATAAACTTTTTTTAAAAAAGTAAAAATAATATATAAGATATCCGCTTGCAATTGAATCACTTGATAAATTAATCAAACACATATTTACACATATTTAAACAACTCAATTATACGGTACATTGAAATATAATTACTACCAAGCCCTGCCGATCAGCAAGTTTCTTGCCTCGGGCAGTATTACCGGACAGTTAAATGCTTTACAAACAAAAACTTCCTTTTATCCATTTACTCATTTAATTATAACAACTTTTAACACATCGTTAGCTTGTACGGGTCTAGATGGGTAATTATTGTTCTGACAATTTCGTGAAAAAAATTCACCATTTTAGCTGGTTCCGCAAAGAAGTTTTTTTTAGCCAGCATAACATGATTACTGGTAAAAAAAAAATTAACTTTATAAACAACCCTTTATTAGTAATTTTACATACGTTCATTAGTAGCTACAGACTTAGTTCATTCTATGACGTATGCAGAAATTGGTAAAGGTTAAATGGATTAAAGAAAGATAAATTTTTATTTTGCACAGTAAAAAAACGTTTTCACTCGTCAAACTTTTAAGACGAGGAAATCGTCAAACGTTTAACATGACATAGTCATGACCGGCTTATTTTCAAAACTGGCTTATTTTCGAGTAATTTTTAATGCAAGAAAAGGGTGGCTTATTTTCAAAACCGGCTTATTATTAAATCCGTCTTATTTTCAAGATTTTAGGGTATCAAGGCCTAAGGATCAGGGGTTCATGTATGGTAGGGGCACTACTGATTATTGCTGAATATTACTGATTAGTTGAAATGCATTTTGTGTTCCCTTACCCTGCGTATGGGTATTAAGTAAACAAACTAAGCAACTGCTAAGTGTATTGTTATGATGATCAATGGTGCCTCTTTCAAAATTGTGAATGCCATAGCATCTGGCTTAAAACATGAATCAAATTCAATCACTGGAAGTTGTTGCATAATGCTCAGGTGACCTATAAGGCCCATGGGCCTCTTGTTTAAGATCCTGGTTGCTATCAGCTCACTAAGAAATCAACAACAAAATATCCAACTACAGTTGAACCCTCAACTGTGGTCTCTGAAACAGGGCCTGTTCATAGTGGGTGAGTCTTGATGTAATGACAATGCATGATGATCAGGCTACCATAACAATAATATATTTATAACATTTACAAGGAAAGTGTGCCAATTTTTTTCCCCATAATTTTAATACGAAAATTGTTGTTCACAAAGTCATCATTCCAAATGAAAAAAGTGTCTACCATAATTGGTCCAGTACTGCTACACATTTGAACAAAAATTGAAAAAACCATTCCAAAAAAAAAATGAAATAAAATTAAAAAAAACCAACGACAAAAGAATACAAAGCAAACAATATGTGTTTGTGAACCATATAATTTGTACCTGGCAGTAAAAAAAGTATCAAAAACTATTTTTAGCATATAGTTCACAGTTAAGGTTACATGGTCATTAACCTTATAGTGTCATTTCAAAGAACCTTATTAGTGGAGTACGTATAAAAAAATGAAGTCTTTATCTCCTATGGTTCAAAAGTTTTGGCGAAAGCTATTTTTAGCATATAGGTAACAGTCAAGGTCAAAAAGTTCTTTGAATTGGTGTCATTGTACATGTAAGAGCTTAATTATATATGTATGCATACAAAATATGAAGTCTCTATCTCCTATGGTTTGTAAGTTATGGCAAGAGTTTTAAAATGTTATTTTTAGCTTGTAGGTCACATGTACAGTCAAGGTCTAAAGGTCATTGATCATGGTGTCTTTTGAAAGATCTTTATTAGTGGTATACATATCAAATATGAAGTCCGTATATCTCAAGTTTCAAAAGTTATGGGGAAGGTTAAAGTTGACAACATTCAGACAAGTAGAAATACAGCTAAACAGACAAACAGATAAACAGACAAATAGTTCTTAGAGAATACATATTGACCTAGCAATAAAGTTGTAGCCTTGTTAGCATATTTCTTTCCTGGAAGCCTAAGTCAATTAAGAATGCTTTTTCTCAATATTTTACATTTATTTGTGTATTTTCTTGTGTTTAAGGTCTGCATCAGATACAGAAGATGGAGGAGACAATTGTTATGTTATAGGGATAGTATTTGCAGCTCTTGTTGTTTTTGCACAATGTAAGTTCTAACTTTAAAGCTAAAGAAGGCACTGTTAGTCATAGAACTATGCAAGGATCCTTAGTTAGTGTAAATTTAAGTTTGTTCAAATTATATCCCCTTCCACGTTGTTTATTGTTATTTCTACTTCTTTCCTAGCAACAATACTCAGGTCAGCGATGTTGCCCATGAATCTCTTGTTTTTCACAAATCCTCTACCAAATTAAATCATTTTCACATTTTGATATCATAAATATATAGCAATATTAAAACGTTGCAATGCTTATAAATTTTATCTATTGCTATACATTATATGTATGCCAAATTTAATTTTGATCTGAATTATGGTTACTATTATCTAGACAAAGAGATAGTTTGTGAACTTTTTAAGCGCTGCTTGTACACAGATTTTAAAGAAATATTCACTATTAATTGTGTATCGCTACAAATTTCAACATAAATTTTGAAACAACTAGAAACTTCTGTTGTTCAAAATTTAGTATTTATTACATGTACCTGGAGTTACACAATGACTTGAGGTTAACTTTTACATTTTTGCTCTTTTTACACATTGTTAAATTATCCATGTTTTCAAATAGGAAAGTGATTGCCGGAGACTGGTACAGTACCCGCATCGTTATTCTTTACAATTCTATCGTGTTCTATCGTGCGTGTATCCTATCGTATCGTGCGTGTATCCTATCGTATCGTGCGTGTATCCTATCGTATCCTATCGTATCGTGTTTTCCGTTTATCAGGTTTTGCGTTTTCTATCGTGTTTTCCGTTTATCGTGTTTTGCGTTTATCGTGTAGATCGTTTATCAGGTTCTATCGTGTATCGTGTTTTGCGTTTATCGTATATATTCGGAAACCCTCGCTTTTTATCTTTACTATACAAAGAAACTACTGAGCTATTCCGAGTTTCTTTTTCGTTTTGTTAATAAAAATAAGATTAAATCAACCGAAAAAGAGAAAATTAAGTTTTATGCCTTTCTTTTCCATCAATATAAGAAATATTAAAGCGTAGAAGGAAACAAATTAATAGCGTATTTCATGAATGAATAAATTTAATTCATTAATAAATAATTAAATAAAAATATAAAAAAATTATATCATGGTAAAGCAGTCAAAATAAACAGTAACTCTATTTTTCGGAATGGATATTATAAGTAGATTGATCACCTGGTCTATTTTTTTTAAAAAATAATTTATCGAATTGTATGATTTATTTTGTCAAAGTTAAATACTATTGATATGATTTTCTTAAATAAATCGGAGTTACCGGAGAAAGATTTTTGGTAAGCTACGACGTTTGCGTGTACACACAAAAAGCAAATAAATAAATAATAAGCAGGGTATTGATATGTATATTTTTTCATGCAATATTCTGTTTTTTCTTGTTTATCGTCTGATAACATTAGTAATATTTTTACGCCTCTGATCTGCATGCATGCAAAATTATTTAAAGTCTTGATGTCACAAATATAATAAAACATAAGACATTAATCCAGATGATTTTAACAACGATTTTAGCCGTATACGTTCAAATTTTAAATTTATTTTTAAGAGCTAATTACAAATTCCTTGATATCTGTCTAAATTAATAAAAAAAAACAAACAAAAAAACAAAAAAAAAATTATAAAATATATTGCATGAAAATATTCTACCCAATTATCACACCATGGCTGTTTCTATAAAATAGAAGTTTTTCGTAATTTTATCTGGCATTAGATAACATAAAAATAATATATACAGGGAAAAACATGATGTTTCTTAAAAGCTTACCTTTTCGGCGTGGAAATAAACTGAAAATATAATCCATCGGGATGTCAAAAATCAAAATAAATCGAAGACCTTTCCTTACCAGAAAACTGACACGTATATGTAGCTCTCTAATTAGCACACTGTCTTCCTGTGCGGTCAACCACCCCCTCCCCCTTCTCCCATAACTGACACCTCGGCCCGTGTGTGTGATCAGCGTCAACATACCTGTACTGATTTCTCACCTGGGGTTAATTAGTAACCTCGAATACTACCTGGTTCTAATGAAACGCATCTACTTATTTTCGGGATTTTGTTCCTAACTTGTTTGAACAAAATTATCAAAGATTTAATTCAAAATATATTAAATAATTGTACAATTAATGGATTAAAAAATCATCTCATCGCTTGAATGGTTAAATAAAAATTGAAATAAATCAATTTAATGAAATGAAGTCCCTAAACTCAATCCGCTGATTTATTTCATTTCGTATAATGTTTCCAACATGTTTATGTAAATAAGTCTTTTAATAAAACTTAAAAAAAAAAATACTGCACTTCTGGTACATGCACTTTCGGATCATCGGGTTTTCTATGTAATACGGACAAAATTAATTCTAGGAAACAATTTCATTGATCGTAGAAACGGATGAAATAGTTCTAACATTCTTAACTATGAAAATTAGCTCGCATTTTTATTTTACGGTATCTTACTATAATAAAATCAAAAGAAGTCGTCTGATTCCGCCCTGACCATGCAAGACTAGTAAATACACCAAATCAATTAATAGTATTAATCGATTTATTCCATAAGTATGTAACTTTATTTAAGAATTCAATATTATATTTGGCTACTTGGTTAGATCTTGTTTATCTAATTTTAAATTGGTTACGGACTTTCAACATCCCGCCCTTCAAATATGTCTCAAATGAGATTACCTGGTCAGTCTAAAATGATTTTTAAGGTTTAATAATTCATTTAAGGATTTAACTTTTTTTTGTTATTATTAGAAACAGTACACACAGAGTTTAATAGCAATGATTTATAATTATTTAGTCGGAAAAGTCGCATTTCTCTCTTTTAATATTTGTTAATTGATTTTTCTGTTTTGTATTGTAAAGAAAAAAGTATTTAACCATTCAATGTTCATTAATAAATACGAGGTTTTAAGTATCTGATATATAAATGTTTAAATGTACATAAGCCCTAGCTTAGCGTAAACGTACATGCAGGTGTAGCAGATTCATATTCTCGTGACACAATTTACATGTATTAATGCAGAGCGCCATTATTTTAAACAATTATTTAGATTTCTATTCAGGAAATTAATTTTCTTGAACTGTTTAGTTCTTGATAGATCTATCATGTTGAATTTATTAATTTTGTTAAAGCCGTTTTCTTTAAACCTTTCTTTCGGCTGGTCTCCAACTTGTATTTTTTTCTAAGATATGAATATTTAATTGCGATTTTGGATACATCGCAGATTGTAAGATTTAGACATTAAATACAAATATTTAATTTATTGCGTTATTTTCTTCCGTGAAATAACTTGGTACTTGTAGATAAATTTATTAGATAGAAAATTAAAATGTATATTTTTTCATAAATGATAAAACTATTTATAGAGTTTAAAAATTCACACCCTTGAGAAGAAATTAAAAAAAAAATACAGTCTCCATTTCATGATAATCCCTTTAATCACTGTCAATTTTTTTTTATATAAATAAACAACTTTTGTAAAATTACCACAGAGATATAAGGTTCTTTTTATAATAATTAAATGTACTTTATAGTTTAGATTTGAAGCTCTGCAAGTATTTAAATTAAAATATTGCAGTAACTAAACAAAATAATATTTTCGTCTTGTCAAAAAACGTTCCGCATTTTGAAACAATCCTATCAGGTTTTGCGTTTATCCTATCGTGAAGATCGTTTATCAGGTCTATCGTGTTTTGCGTTTATCGTGTTTTGCGTGTATCGTGTTTTGCGTTTATCGTGTTTTGCGTTTATCCTATCGTGCGTGTATCCTGTCCTATCGTGCGTGTATCCTATCGTATCGTGCGTGTATCCTATCGTATCGTGCGTGTATCCTATCGTATCGTGTATCTTGTAAAGAATAACGATGCGGGTACTGTAAATGTGCTTAGTGATGGGCTAGAAAGGATGGCAATTCTTCAATCGGAACAGAACAGTTAAAATTACAATGAAAACAATGAAAAGTTGAATGTAATTGCAAGTAAAATGTATGAAAATGTGTCCAATTTTACGAATGCGACCTCTACAACAATACATGGACACATAGGAGAACTGGAATCTCTGGAGAGGTATTTTCTAAGAAGAAAGGATAACCATGATGAAGAAAAGTTTTTTCCACCAGATTAAAAACGTTTTTGAAACGTAAAATGTGTTTAGTGTTGGTGTTTTAATACATACTGCTAATTCTTTGAAACTGATATACTTACTTGTATAAATTTGTTTAAATGTTGTCTTGTGATTAAGGCTTGTTAGTGAATTGATGTATTTATGTCGTTTAAAACAGTTTCAATGCAGACAATTTTTTTTGTCATGCTATTTGCATGAAGATTAAACTGAGCAGATAAGATATATATATATATATATATATATATATATATATATATATATATATATATATATATATATCACATATCAATTTATGAAACAAGGCAAGTTATTGACAATTTATGAAAGAAGAATACCAACAGTCTTGTTTAAATCATCAGCTTGCAAGTTCCTTGTGAATACAATAGCCTTTGCAGCAATCTAATATTTCATTAAGTCATGAAGACTTAACGTTTCATACTTATTGTAAGCACACTATTTTTAATAAGAATTGTTTTAGGTTTATTTGTGTTCTTTCATTGCAAGGGACACACGACAGGTTTACCTTGCAGGCAGAGGATGTTGACTCCTTTGTGGCATTTGATCGACCCTTGCTATACTCCAGATTATACATGTCATGAATTGTGTCAATTATCTTAGTATTCATTTTCTCCATGTTCATTTAAGTATTTATAGTCAGGCGTCTTCATTAAATATGACTACATGACATGTCTGTGTGATTCAAAGAAGCCTAGTCCAAAGAGTAATAGATTTCTACCTTCATAGCTGCTTATACAATTCATGTACTTATTCAAATCTAGCCTAAGTGGCTATTTTACCTAAGTTTTGCTTTACTTACATTTTGTGGCTATAAAAGCAGAAATGGTGAAATATGGTGAGCACCTAATTGATTGATTGATTGTATATTGCTTAACGTTCCTCATAAGAATTTTTCACTCATATGGAGACGCCACCACTTGCCGATGGAGAGCTGCAAACTTTGTCCTATACTCTGCACTAAAGGCCATTGAGCAGGGAGGATCTTTTTGTGCCAGCACTTCTGCGACACTGGTCCTTGGTTTATACGGTCTCATCTGAAGGACCGGTCTCCATGTCCCACAGTGGGATTCGAACCCGCGATGTAAGGATCAACTCCTTACATTTGCGACTCTAGAACAGACGCTTTAACCATTACGCCACGACCAGTACGTAATCGAATAATTCAGTCACACTGATGAATACAACATTTAGGCCAAAAAATGAATAATTCTTAAACAATTTTGTGTAGTAATTTAAGTAATTAATGCTAATTGTAAATTTACGAATTAATCATTTTTTGGCTAAAATTTGTCGTGTTCATTATCAATGTGACGGTATCAAGGAATTTGGTGTTGGATAAGTTCAAATACCTACAAGCTATATGTATTAGTACTAATATTGGGAAAATATTTTTTGTACTGGACCTGTTAAACACCAATTACTCATACAAAACTTTAAATAGTTCCTTAAGTATCTTCCTTGCAGAGCAGAGCGGCACTTAGGGACCACTTTACCCGATGTCTGTCTGTCTAGATGTAGCTGCTTTTTCATCTATCTGTCCGTCTGTCACACCCATACCTCAAAAACTAAGAGATATGGATTTCAAATCGATATTTTAGGCATATACCTGGGGTATTACATGACATCATGGCTTTTATAAATTACTATTAATATAGATTTCATTACCCATGACCTTTGAACTTTGACCTACTTTCCAAAATATGCCATGGTGCCAATCTACACATACATGTATTTTTGACATTTAAGAAGTAAGACTATGTTCTTTAGCTTGTGCATTGTTTGTCATGATACATGTAATACACATGACTTTAACCTTTGAACTTCTTTGCAAAAAAATATATATTTGATGAGCAGTTTTATTCTACACATGACTTTTTTTTTACTTTGAGAGATTTAAGATTTATACAAGTTGATGAGCGCATGAAATTGTAATTTGAAACTCTATGAGAACCAGTTCCAAACTTGTGCATAAACACTTTGAAAATACATATTGGGATTGGTATTCTACACTTAATTAATTTGTGGACGGACATTGTGCTTCAAGGATCGTGTTCCTCGGAAAGCTCGTACCTATCAAGAGGCTTAGCGGAGTCAGCCGAGGATTGTCGTTTGGCAGTACGCATGCAGGAAAGTCAGACGGAAATCTTTTTGGAGGATTGTTGGAAACACGTATGATAAATAGCTATTTCATATATTTTCAATTTAATTATTCATCTGAGTCATTTTTTGTTTGATTGATTGTCAGATTCTGCTGCAGTCTAATAAATGTTCTTTTCTAAACTATCCACGGCAGTCATTTTTTCTTTGCGGGCAAAATATCATCATGATCATACTAATAGTAAATAAGAAGCTGACCACCCTTAGATTGATTTTTCATCTTGAATGAAGCTACATGTACAAAGTAGGCAACACATGCGTTATTTGGAACCTCCTAGTTTGCTTTTATAAAAAAATTCCAATTCATATGAATTCAATTTTTTAAGTAAAAAATTTCGGAATTGTCTAAAACTGTGTAGATCAACAAATTGTTGTCATAGGAAAAATGTGGACCCTGAAATATAAAATCAAATTTCATATTATGGAAAAAGTTGTAGAGAACTTCGCCAGAATTGCATCAAGTTCATTCAGTCGCCTTTCAAAAAGACATATATTACGGATGTACTGGGACAGATGTCCTTTTCTCACATGATCCTATAATTCTTTTCAAGATAACGTGCGTTTTGATGCTTAATCCAGCATTGTATACCTTATCCCAACTCGTCTTTTAAAGGTCCATATTTGCTGACTGCTTCGAATTTCCAATATTCAATTGGTCATTTGAGCTTGATTTAATTTCAAAATATTTATGTTTCATTCCGCAACAAGGTACCAATATGTCTGCCATTTTATGGTGTTATATGTACAGAAACTGAAAATTAGAAAAAGGTCACAAACCTATTCCCATTTTGTTACCCTATTGATTTATTGAAGTGTGCTTTGACCCTTTTATCTGAATCTATACAACTGGATCATTACCATCTCTAACTGAGTTTGCAATCTGTTTTTGGACACCTGTTTGTCTTATAGCTAGCGACGCAAAACATCCTAAAATAAACTATATGCATGAAGATTTATGCCATATGCTTTACCTCTCATTCAGAAATATTTGCCTAAGGCTGAATAATATTTTTATTATTTTATTATTATCTTTGTATGGGCTCACTATCTTTAGAATAGCTTTCTATAGCGCAAATTTTCTTTACCGGCTTTTCATTAATTTTCCTTTGAAAACACATATTAACATAATTTCAGTTGTCGTATTTATTTTACATTTGTTCGTTGAAAATTGAAGGGCTCGGATTGAAGGTCGTATAATTGCAATCGTTTAGGGGACTATGCATAGAAGTACATGTACGTACCTTTTTGTCGTTAAATAAGTTTAACGATAACACCTTAAAAGCTTATATTAATGTGAATTTCGTTTTATACAGTCATGCTATAACGTTTGTCAAATGACGGTTTTCCTGCATTATTGAACACGATAACATTCTTTTATAGACATAAACCGTAATTACCTTTTTTGGATCATGAATTTTCGAAATGCTTGTCAAACACGGCAACCGATGTGTTATTGTCATTTCAAAAACGATTAAAAACCAATTGTCTAGCTGAGTGCATGGAAAAATTTAGAAGTTTGAATGTTATGAAATAGTTATTGTTTATCATAAATCTTAGTTATTCATACACCTTATCCTTACGAACATGCATATTGAAAGCATTAGTTTATATCAAGAAAGTCGATCTGTTCTGAAAATCAATGTTAAGAGAAAGTCTAAAAATGATTACAAAAACCGTCACTTAATTCAAAATGTGTTGTGTATACATCAATGTTATGTTCTTTGCGTCGAGCGTTTAAAGTTCCTCATTTCAGTTAACCCTATTTAATACGGAAAAAAATTGGATTATATCCCCAGGAAGCATGAACCAGTTTTTAATCCAAAATTAAAATGTGAGCTCAAAATACATTATAAGGATTTAAAAGATGCAGACATATATACATGTATATTCAAAAAATTATTTTTCCTTGGTATAGGGATAAAATAGAATCCAAATTTAAATGCAAAACTCTTACTCCAATCTAAAAACTTTCGCCCCATCAGGCTCATCTGTAGGTTTACTGGATTTACTGAATTTCCTATCTAATCTACTGACGAGCCCCCGTGGGGCGAAAGTGCTTTAGATCGAGTTTTTCAGTTAAATTTGGATTTTATTCATGTACAGGTAAATATATGTTTAGGCATGATTTTTAATGCTGCATTTAAGATCTTCTAGATGATACGTATGCAAGACGAGATACTGTAATGTATGCAAGAAATTTTCACGAGAGCCTCGTCATCGCAAATATTTATCTCCGCGAACAGGTCCATAAGGTCTCTGTCTCAATCAACAACTGATCCAAACTAGACTTGATCAAAAAAATGAATTGTCAAGGACTTATTTTCGCCTGCTAAAACGCGAAATAAAATCGCCGCGAATAAAAGTTGGTTTACAATAAAAGAAAACCTGTTGTACGAAAAAAGAAATTAGTTTGAAATTGTTTCTCTTAAATTTATCAGCACGAAGTTTTAGATAACCGACTGTTTTTATAACTGTAAACTCTCTTTTAAAAATCAGTTAATTTGTTTCAATTTCATCATGTTCGTCTGATTAATACATGTATGTCTTCACTGTGGTACAATGTGGTTATAGCGATATCTGAAATTCTTGATTACTGCAACTCCAATGACATGTTTTAAGTTTCATATGATAGTTCTAAAGACGGCGATGTGTCCGATATAAATCAGACGGGAGGGAATATAATTTGAACGTTTTCATACATCGTGTCGTTATCGGGAAAATTGACAGTTGTGTCTCTCAAATCCCGAGAATAAGCTTTATATTGTCGATCATAAATGCATACAGCTACGTTAGTTAAAATCATAAGTACGTCCGCAAAACCAATCACTTTTATAAAAATGAGAAGGATTCTGTTTATACTTGAAGGCTCATTTGTCGAGACTCTGCTTGTAGAATTTGTGTACATGTATGAGGATGTTTCTGTCGTCCAGATGGTGTCGTTTTCCATTACCGTACTAGTGACCGTAGAAAGGTCTTCCATTTCTATGAATAAAATTCGTAAAAGCAATATCTTTGAATATACTTCGGTATTTTTATCGTATAAAGCTTTTTAGGCATTTCAAGTTAACGACTATCCAATAAAAAAAAAAATGATAATTTGCCTTTAAAACAGATATTTAATTTAACAAATTTGTAAAAGAAATGAAATCAATCTACCTGTTGATGGAATGGGACAACCTTGAGAAAAGTGACACAATTCCACCGAACATTGACAGTGTTCTTGACACTTTTCTCCATAGTAAGGAAATGGACATTTTGTACAGTTTATTCCAGCATATCCTGGTAAGCATTCTATAATGATGTTTATTCTTGATTAGCTTTGAAATGAAATGAAGTCTACAATGGAGGATCTAAATACATATTAAGCAACAAGAAAATATTTAACTAATTGTCCTGACAGGTTTTATATCAAATTAAAAATTCTCTTTCACAAAGGTTTGGATGAAAATGCACTTTCAAAAACTGTTATCCAATAACATTTAAACTGTACAAAGAAAATAAAAGGATTTGTAAAACGTAACCTCCATTCGTAATGTTTGGGACTATTAATTAAAATCTAATCTATGTAGGCAACTTTACATGTATATATAGTTGATAGATAATAAGCAATCGTTATTTACTCCCATCATAGTTTTATTTTTAATTAAAGTCAATCTGTACATACATATGTGATACATAAAACATATGAAAATGGTGCCGCTAATTAAAAAAGTTGCTAAGTTTGTTCGATTACGGGATCGTCACATATATATTTTAATTAACATGTAATTAATTAATTGATTATTAATTGATATTCCCTTAAATACTAGAACCCATGGATACTATAATGCTATTTTGAGCTATTTAAAGACAAGCACGTGAGAAAAAGGTTGGGGTACCTTTATATAGCTTTAGCAGTGCTGCTAAAAAACATTTTTTTCTATTAGCATGCTAAAGTAATTTTCATACATTTCATGTAAGAAGGAGTGTAATATACAGAGGAATCGAACAGTATTCAACCCCAAAAGTAAATTAAAAAAAAAAAACACACACACACAGGAGCAGAGGAAACATCTCCAAAACATCAAAGGTGGGATTATGTACCATGGAGGAGTAAGCATCCCCTGCTAACCGGTCACACCCGCTGTGTGCTCCCTTGTCGTGATAACTTTAAAATGACATTTTTATCTACATGTATTTTTAACATTTTTTCAACATTTTTACATGATTTGAATGGACAACAGATTCTCTCATTCACTTACTTTTGCATGCTTGACTTTCGACATCCCACGAGTAGTCCGGACAGCAACTTTTGAAACCTCTGTGTGAATGAATTTTATACAAATGGAATTAGAATTTGAATGCTGTAAATTTATTATATTTGGAGTGTACGATATTTGTCGGAAAGAAGATGGGAGAACAAGGCGGGCATAATGCGGGCATAATGCCTATAGCGTCCGATATTAAGAAATCTTATTAATTATGTGAATTGAGTATTTCAATTTACTTCAAATTATTGAAATTTTTTAAATTATTAGGATAAAAAAACTTTTCTTAAAGAAAATAAATCTCGTAAAATATTTCTTTCTTTCATAAAATTAATAGATGGTATTCGTGGGATTCGAACCCTTGCAATAAAAATCCGACGTATCAATAGCATAATGCTTTGAGACTAACGAGTTAACCACTATGCTGTATAACTCATGGTGATTTCGGGCATTTAAATCATGTTTGTGATATTACACGCGACTTAATGGACTTGAAGTATTTCTCAGAGAGATGCGAATGTTGTGTCATAAAAGTGTACTTTTTAGGTATAGTGGGTCTTCGCTCTATGTTTTTGTAAACCAAAAAATGAGTATTTTATTGCAAACTTTTAGGATCATCTTTCAAAAAAATGGAGCGAAGACCTACTCATATTGAAAGATTTTGTTCAAGTACGAGAAAATGATCGTGTTCTTGTTAGTGTGTGTAAGCTTTTTCATAAGTAAATATTTTCTGTTTTTGTGAGATTTTTGTAAATTGTAGAGATTTCACATAAAGAATACTTTAATATTAGATGAAATATTAAATAAAATTTGGATTTAATTGAGATTAAAATTTCCACTTCTTATCTGTCGCATTTTAGGCACTTCGCCCGCCTTATTCACTCATCTTCTTTATTTTTCAAGAAGTTAACGTACAGATTTGATTTCGCTATCTAAATGTGCTCGATATAAATGTATGGTACATGTATGTATACAAGGCATTAAGCGATGCACTTAATTTTGTAGACTCTGCTTTCCGCCAAAATTGTTAGATATAATACACCGTTAAATGTAATACATTTACAGTGATTCAAACTAAAAAAAAAGCGTAGTGAGCGCAATAAAAATGTATTCATACGTATGAATTTTCTACATACTGAAAGGAAAAAGAGACGCATGAGAACATAATGTGCGAGGTTTTCTTTTACTATGTGACCGAAAATTATGAAAATGGATCAGATGTGCAGTCGGTATAAATGTTTTTTTCAATCATTGTATGGCTTAATGAAGTTACATTGGGTCCCGTAATTGAATTTCATATGTGAATAAAAAAGCAACAACATGTTTTGTATTTAACTTTTTTTCCGTTCAGTAAATATCGTTATCATAAACTAATAAAATATACATATACACATCAATGTAATTTAAGGCTTACTTCAATGAAAATTGTAAAAAAGAAAGTACAGTAACTGTATATGCCAGATAAATTGAACTAGTTTTAATTTGTAACATATGTTAGGTGACTGCAAAATATTTTACTAGCACCCGTCGATAAATTCAAATTCCTTACAGATACTTACCTTTCACATACCGGAATAGTTGAACAATTTGATAAAATAAATATGGCCTCCAACAATAATGATATTAAAATTAACAAAATGTAATCCATGCCATTAGACATACAAATATGCGCCTAACATCATGGTTTTGACTATATCTGCTTTATAGTTTTGCATGATAATGCTGTAGATTTTCTTCCTTCATCCGTTAATCGACCAGGAAAAACTTGAGTAAATGTTAATAGATTTTTGACTTAAGTCCCTCAATTGTGAGATAACGATGTGACATCTCCATCTGTATATAGACAGGAAGAAATATAAACATCGTAAGGATCGAAATATGATTATTAAAAAAAAATAATATATTATACCTCATTTATCTTACACTTACAAAAATAGTTTCACTGACTTTACCTCAATGTTACATTCACATATGATAAAAAATAAATTTACATCGAAATCTTTTTTTTTGGCCTTTTTTTTTTAATGATAAATTATTTATAATTAAGACCATCAGTTGATATTTATTTTTCTAACAGACTGTTTTATATTATGTTTATGTTATATACTATTTAAGATGAGATGGTGGTAAACAACAGTTTTTTCAAGAATAAAATTTGTTATTTTATCTTCAGTAAATCAAAGAGCCATATTAGATGATAAATGTATGATGAGCCTGTCAGTATAGTATTTTCCCCACCTCAACATGCTCAACAAATTATAATTCAAATAACTATCTATGGAAATGTTTATGTAGTAATCGTAGAAGTACAACAGGTTTTCATTATGTGCTTTTGTGCAAGGATGTTAGACTTTGTGCAATCCACAAGGAAGTTTTTGAAATGCATTTCAAAGAATCTTAAAGGCAAATTGTACACGTACATGAAATTATCATATTTGGGAAAAATTATTAAGTTATACCGTTTCTTGTACATGTAATTGCTACATTTGCAAGTCAGTATGTTGGGTATTAGATAGATTGTTTTATCGTTAAGAAGATATTGTCCTACAGATCCGGGATGGCTTGTCTAGAGGCACAGATATATCATTTGAACAAGCTAGTCTTCTGAAAAGTCGAAGGGCCTTAACAAAGTTATTAAAAGCAAAGAAAGAAACATAAGCAAAATGCTCTGAAAAAAATTATTAAGGATAATTTGCTATATGAAACGGATATTAAGATTAAGCAGTAATATTTTCCCGATGTTCCGAATATTATTGCACAGCAGTAATGAGTTGAAAAATTTCGCAATATAGCGGTAATGTTGATCTACTGATTTTTTTAGATTGATATACAGGTGTTGGACCCAGGGGGATATAGGAAAACGGGCTTAAAAGATACATTTAATTGAAAAAGAGCCCCTAGTGGGTAAAATGGGGTTTTCTGCATTTTGAGAAAGACACAAAAAATTGAGCCTTCTCTAAGCTTGAAACACTTCAGGTAAAGATATAAATCCTTATTTATTTCAGAATGCTTCAAATAAATTATATTATTGAAAGTGTTATTTTTTTTGTGTGTAGAGGAAATATGGGGGTTACAGTGCTATATTTCACGAAATAGAACTTTTTTAATAATGACTATAATTGTTTTAGTTCTGGTTGCCATGCAACAGACACCCCGAAACATAAATTAAGGTAGTTTTCTCAGACACATGAGTACACTCTTTATATACAAAAAATGGCGTATACTGGGGACATTCGGTTGAACTGCGCCCTTTGATTCTTTGTTTTTTTTATAGCAGAGTATGATTCTTATTCTTATTTCCAAAATTTTCTTGTTTCATAGACCTCAATGTATTCTTTATTTAATTACTGCTCAGGTAATCATATTTTTGATACATTCTCTTGATAAATCCTTATCAACCACACATTGCTTTGAATAAGTTTCAGCGTACTTCACTGGTATGTCAGTCGTCAGCTATATATATTTAGAATGGTTCAACCCTATTTATTACACCGTGTAAATCCCAACATGCGGGGTGTATACTATGTTGTGCGCGGGGTGTATGCTTCCGAAGCGAGAGAAAGGGGGTCAATGTAGGTTCTTTGTCCATTTGCTCAAATTACGGATATTTTTCGCCAGAAACCATATGCCTACGGAAGAAAGCATTATCTAAGGAGTATATGGATACCTATGAATCCACTGGACACCTTCTAGTTTTATCAAACACCTCAACACAATTCCGAGGATCGGAGCAAGATTGACGCTACACTGTGTTTATGATCAAATATCAGAAGAAAGCTTTGCTCTATCATCACTTTTATATTATTGTTAAATACATGATTACTTTATAAACGTTTGTACAAATTGTCTGTTAATAAAACAGTTTGTATATATAAAGATATTGACGAAAAATCAATGTTGTGTCGAGGGTGTATGCAACATGTTGTACGCGGGGTGTATACCCCATATTTTTCTTAGGATTGTTAGTGCAAAGTATCTATGAAAATATTATTTACACAGGATTATAAGCGACAGGTAGTGTTGATGAAAGACCCTAATACTAATGCCAAACCAAAAAGTAAAGTCCAAAATTATAAAAAAAAATTTAACTAAATTTTTAAAAAATCAAAAGAATAAAAGAAAAACAAACTATCATATTCAAACATAATAGGCTCTAGATATGCAAGGAGCGATTGTTATATGAATAAATGCTTCATTATAGATGGCGCAATGGTGTAAATCTACGTAATCATAAAATATAAAATCTCTCCAAATGGGGCCCTCGCCCCCCCCCAATCCCTGCATTGAGGACACTTTGTCCTTTCTTCGCATCATTTTAATCTAAATATTTTGCCTGTTAAAAATAATAGAAACACAACATGAATGGTGTATAATGAATAAATCTCTTTTTTGTTTCTGCAACTTTTATGTTATCAATACATGTATTCTTAAGCATTCATGACCGTAATGTAGAATCTTTTTTGGAGGGGGGGGGGGTACCTTAAAAAAAACCCTTGACATAAGTTGACTACCTATAAAAAAGGGGGGGGGGGCTTATCGAAACTTAAAACACCTATTTCAGATGTGGTTGAAGGTCCAATCTTTTTTCAGGGACAACTCTCCTTTTTTTTACTTAAACTTATTACATATCATTGTTTGACTATGCTGCTACAAAGGCGGGGGAGGGGGGGGGGGGGACAACTTGACTTTCGATGAACATTTTTTGTAGTGAAAAGTTGTACCTGGAACAAAAAGGGGGTGATACTACGTGTTTGTATGATATATTAAATTAATTTTCCTTTCAATTTTTGCAATATTTGGATTCATTTTTCCTTATCTGAAAAGATTTCATATTTTACAAATCACAATAAACATGTAATGCACATTTGTAATAAGGGACAATTTTCTGGGGGCATGCACAGTTGAAAAAAAACTGTTGTGGGTACAATTACAATTTTACGTTGACGTGTAATTAATATTAATTAATGTTTATCCCTCCTCTACTTTATTATCGTATGTACAGGAAGTAAAGTTACCCCCCCCCCCCCAGAAAAAGTGACCTAAGACACAAATACACCCTCCCCGGGCCCATTCCTAGAAAATATGTACTTCGTACAATATAATACCTCAATATAAAAACAATAGTTTACTGCCAAATGTGACCTCCTGGGGTCAAAGTACACAGCATGTAAATACTACATGATGGAAAACATTTTTTGCGGTGTTTATGACATTACAAAGAGCTAAATATTTTTTTATAAAAGAGGTGTGGAGATAACGAACATATTCAATATCAAGTCCATAAAACAATACAAAAAATAAGAGCAGAGCAAACACGGACCCCCGAAACATCAGAGGTGGGATCAGGTGCCATGGAGGAGTGGGCATCCCCTGCTGACCGGTCACACCCGCCGTGTGCTCATTGTCATGATCGTGAAATAACGCAAAAAATCCGTCTTCAGTTCAGTGTATAATTAATGGACTAATAATTGGTATTGAAAACGTCAGTCAGCATTTGACTCAATGATAAATTGTATTTGCTGACAAAGCCATTGTACCGACCATAGAACTTACGAAATGATGACTTTAAACGAGACTGCTGATATTCTTGTTTCATCAACTTGCTTGTCAATACTTTACCTCGTTTAAGAAATTGTTCATACCTAGAGCATGCTCTTGCGTATCGAATCAATTGAGATATACACACTCCGTATGCAGTATCATTAAAAAATTGTTGAAACGGGTTAAACAGAAATTATGAGAAAATGTAAAATGTTCAAAATGATGCATGAGTGAAGCATTTATTAAGGAATGATCTGAATAAGGTGTCTTTAAATCGAAGGGATGAATTGTTGTTTATCACATTAAACAGTTAAACAAAGCACCTGTACATTTACTTCCATGTGCATTCAACGCCAAAAGTGCGATGAACGTGTATCAATTTTTTCCCCGTACATCGAATTCATAAACCTGACTTTGTGCTATTAAAAAACTGGTGAATAATTTAAAAAATAAATATAACTTTTACAAAAGTCAATTGTTAAGAATTTTTTTATGATATTTCAGACAATGATACTTTAGAGTAAAGAGAGGGGTATACACCCCGCATGCAACATGTTGCATACACCCCGGACACAACATTGATTTTTCGTCAATATCTTTGTATACGAAGTGCTTTATTAACAGACAATTTGTACAAACGTTTATAAAGTAATCATGCATTTAACAATAATATAAAAGTGATGATAAAGCAATGTTTTCTTCTGATATTTGATCATAAACACAGTGTAGCGTCAATCTTGCTCCGATCCTCGGAATTGTGTTGAGGTGTTTGATAAAACTAGAAGGTGTCCAGTGGATTCATAGGTATCCATATACTCCTTAGATATTGCTTTCTTCCGTAGGCATATGGTTTCTGGCGAAAAATATCCGTAAGTTGAGAAAATTGACAAAGAACCTACATTGACCTCCTTTTTCTCGCTTCGGAGGCATACACCCCGCGCACAACATAGTATACACCCTGTATGTTGGGATATACACGGTGTATTATGCTTCAAATTTTATGATATTTCATTGGATTTTAGCCTCACATACTCGTCGAACATTTTCTGTTATGATATACTAAGAACATTCAAAATGGGTCTTACTTTATTTTTTAAGAACAAATTTTACTCCTTCCTTCAACAAACTTTGCAGAGAAATGAAGATATATTATATACGTAAAGGTAAAAATTTTTTTTTGCCTGAAAATCGCATAATTTGACATATATTTCAAAATTTACATTAATGATTGCAATTTTTTTTTCTTTTATTCAATCTACTCGATACTTTTGATTGATT